ATTAGTACAAATAAATTTTTTTTTTCATTAACTACTCCATTTATTTTTCCATTTTTCAAAAACATCATTAATTATGACTTTTATAAGTTAAACTTTAAAATAATGTCCATAAATGGAAAAAACTTACTCTAAAGTAACAAACTTATATTTAAAATGTTTTGAGATTTTAAGACTAAACTTGTTAGTTCACAACAAACATTGGGGTTTTAAAATTCCAATCTTTACTAGAAAGTCATTAGGATTGTAAATATGATATATGTTTTTTGTACAACTTGAAGTTTGTTTACAATTAATTAGATAAGTAGTTTGATCATTATCAAATTAAATATTTAAAGTAAAAACACAAACTGTAACATATTGTTCTAGGGCTAAACTTGAAAAAGAGAAAAAACAAGCAGCAAAGGAAGCTGGAATGATAAGAACAGAAATAACACCAGCAGAGGTGAGGGTAAAATTTTTTACGTATTCAAAAAAAAAAAGGATTAGCCACAAAGTTAGAGACTTCTACATTCATTTTATGCTAGTTTTCTATCATTGTAAAAGGAAATGTTACATTAGATTGTGTGACAGAATTATGTGAAGGTAGATAAATGCATATTAAGCTTTTATTTTTATAACTTCTTTTTTGTATTTTAATGTGTTAGGTTGCAGATGAAATGGAAGAAGAAAGAAGAATGTTTCAGTTACAACTATGTGAGGTGAGAGGTGTAGATAAGTGTTACCCACTAATAATATGATGACAACAGTATAGTATAAAGATGGTGCGTCTTTGAAGAATTTAAGTTGCACTGTGAATATTCATCACATTTCTGCTGTATATATGCAAAATGTGTGTGTGTGTGTGTGTTAATTAAATTTGAGCATCTTGACATCTCAAATTTGATTTGTGTTTTGCTGCATAACATGCTTATGGTACTGTATTATTGTTATTATGGGGAGAGGAATATCTTATGTATTAATTATATTCTGGGGAAAAACTTTAATGGTAAGTGGAAGGCATAGGTTTGATGCTAGTCAACCATCTAAATATGGATAGGTCAAAGTGCACATGTCTTTTACATATCTTTTACAGAGATACATTCAAAACTTAAACAACTGTATTAGTATTGTATGTAAATAAATTTTGCATCAAAATATAGTTTGTAATTCACAGTTTTGTATTATCTAAGCTTTTATTTCTTAATTTCAAAACAAAATATTAAAATAAATTCTCAGTTGCTACCTGTCTCTATCATTTGATGTCTGTACTCAGAATTCCTTATTTTAGATTTTCTTTTATATCCTTATATGATCATCTGAGTGTCCCACTAATCACACATTTATAATATAGATATTGTTAAGCCAGAATATATATTTCTTGACTCTAAGTTTCATGCTATACTGGCATATAAAAAAAAAGTCAAAACCAAATGCCACATCTCTATCTCATCCTAATTCTCTCTGAAATTTGTTATTGGATTGTTCATAACCAATATGAAAAGCAAATTGTTCTTTACAAAATGCATTAAGAGGCTAGATCATTTAGTCACTGATGATTAGATATATAGCCTCAGTTTTATTTTTGAAGTCATGGTATTGTTTGTTCTGAGCAGGAGAGTGATTTTTTTACTTTTTTTTATTGCTTAGTTAAAAGCCTGTTAAATTACATATGTTTTAGAATATATTATTGTATTATACTGCTTGATATATGTTTTGTGTAACATTATGGACATGCTTGAGGTGTATATCACTCATATTTAAAGATCTCCTACTATGTTTATTGTGTTTGATGGGAAGGTTAGTGCTCAAGTAGATATTAAGTACAACAATAGAAAATAGATATGAAAAGGTTAATAGTTGAAACTTTGAAGATAATAACTGCATGAAAGAAGGGAAATTATGCATTGAAAGAGGAAGGTAAAAAATAGGTATTTTTCGTTTTCTTTCTTTTTTTCTTTTTTTTTTACTGTACATTGATCATGACTAATGATTTTGCTACAGTTAGTGTTAGGGTTTACAAGCTATTCTTGTCCAGTGCTGCCCTCTATATGCAATTTTTTCTTTATGCATGCCACAAGCTCTCCCCTATTGGAATTGAATGATTCCAAAATGTCTCTCATGTAAATCATCATGCGTCACTTCTCCACCAATAGGAGCATGACATATGTGATGCATGTGACTCCCTCTCTACACCTCTACCAAACTATCACTTTTCATGTGGCAGTGCTAGTGTTTGGACGTGTTTCTTTTTGTTTGTCTAACGTTTCATGTTCGCCTTTATTATGTTCACGAAGTGAACTTTATTTATTTTCACATCTAGTTTCTATTAAGACTGTTTCTTAACTTCACTTTAATCCCGGTTTATTAGTCGCATTGTTATTTGATTATTGTTTGACTCTTCTTCATTATGAATTTCAAAGTTCATGTTACCACTTCTGGAGTCACACCTGCAACTAGCAGGCCTCACGTGCTGGCGACCAGGTGGGGGATTTATTTATGTTTATTCGCTGGGAGATTCAATGTTACATGAATCAACCTCTGTCTCCGGACGTTGCCTCACTTCCTCTCAAACAAGCTGAGCCTATACAAATGGACAAGGACTTGGATCACATATTTCAACCTCCTTTTTTTGCTGTGCCTTCCCATGCCCATCCTGAGGAATCAGTTAGGCCCAATATGGTCTTTTTTGGATTTCTTTTCTCTGGTATGTGATGTTTTATCCCTTTCCCCTATTTCCTATTTGCCTCACAATTAAGTGATGGGATTAGCATGGGCTTTGGATCAGTTTGCTTTTGCATATCATTGTGCAGACTGTCGTCTTCTGGACCAGCAATTGTTAGGTTCCATTTTGCCTGTTTGGGGTGTGGTCCCTGAATCTCCTATAAGTCTGAGCTGTACCCAATTTTCCCACCTTTGTCTTACCCTCACAACTCTTTTACAGTATCTCTCTACTATCCATCTCCTCTCTGAGGCTCTCCACTGAAATCTAGAGGGGTATTCTGGGGGCATCCTCTCCCTTCTTTCCTCCATGTTGACTCATTTATCGTTTTCGGCTCTAGTTTTACATACATGGTTTCTCTGTTGTTGGGACCTTGTAGGTCGTGATGCGATATAAACTCGCATCCATTTATCATTATCTTATCTTCAGGATTTGTGTATAGCCCCATTTCTGCAGCGATACGTCTTTGACATGAACCCTGAGTCTTTGGAATCACGAGTTGCATCAGTACAACAACAGTTTACCCTTTCGAACCTTGTTGCCCATTTTTCTCATTTGGAGCTCAATATGGCACCTGTTACTATTTCCAGTTCCTCTCCTTCCCAACCCTAACCTGTCCCTTCTTCTCATCATTTTCTTTGACGATGCTTGTCATGTCTCCAAAAGTATCGGGGACTACCTGGTGTGTTCTAGTCCAGTGGGAGCTTGGCTTGCCTCTTTTCTTCATTACTGGTGTTCTTTCATCAAGGATCATTGGTTCGTCAAGTTTTATTAAATGTATTCATTATCTTATTTTTTTTCCCACCTCCCGTGTCCCTATACCCATTTCCTTCCCTCCACCTTGGGATCCCATGACCAGCCACTGTCTGTCGGAGGCGATTCAGGAACTACTATCTTAGTAGGCCATTGAATCTGTTCTACATCCCTCACCAAATTTTTATTCCAGACTCTGTGTTCTTCCCAAGAAAACCTGGGACTGGAAGCCCGTCATCGATTTGTCCTGCCCCAATCAATTCGTTCAACTGTACCATGGAGTCATTTTCTATGGGATTATGAATGACCAAGATGGACGTCACCAATGCTTATCTCCACATCCCTATATCACCATGGTTTTGTCCATATCTTTGGTGGTTTATCAATTTCTTGCTCTAACCTTCAGGCTTGATTTCACCCCTTGTGTTTTCTTTTGGGTGGTCAGATCATTTTTTTGCCATCTTCATACTATGGGGTTGTGATTCCACCATTATATGGATGACTGGTTTCGTTTGGTTCATTCCAAACTGGAGTCAGTTAACCATACTCATCAGCTCCTTCTATTGGCTGCTCAGATGGGCTGGTTAATCAAGTTGTAGAAGTACTTCCTTTGACCTACCCAATATCTCTTCCACTTGGATGTCTTTTTTGACACTCATCTCAGTCAGGCCTAACCTTCTTCTCAACTACTTCGTTCCATGAAACTGTTTGTTTACCATGCCCTTTCAGCTTCCTCACTTTCTGATCGTTAGGTTCTATCACTTTTGGGGATGGGGTCTTCAGTGATGTTACTGGTCTCCTCCTCGGTTGTGTGCAGTGGGCTCTTCATAATCAATGGAACCATGCTCGGGATCCCTTGTCAGCTGTCCTACCCTGATTGAGGGGATATGTTAGTGGGAATCTTGCTTCCTCCTCCTCATCCAAATTTACATCATTTCACGGATGCATCCCTTCAGGGCTGGGGTGCATGGGTCAATCACCAGGAAGCTTCGGGTCATTGGTCTGTAGAGGAAAGATCTTTGCATATCATTGTCCTTGAGCTTATTGCAGTCCATCAGGCTTTGAATCACTTCTTTCCTGTTGCCAGACATTATCTGGAGATGTTTCATTTCAAGAATTGTACAGTGGTAGCACATATCAATCACAAAGGGGGCACCTGGTTGAGATCTCTCTGTTTTCGAACATTGGATCTACTATATTGGGCCAACATTCATCTTATTGCGTGTCACATTCCTGGTGCTTTCAATCTCATAGCGGATCGTCTTTCCTGCCCTGACTAAATATATCAGACGGAGTGGCCTTTAGAGCTCCTTGTTTTCTGGTGGCTTTGCAATCAGTGGGGTTTCCCCATGTAGATTTATTTGCCACATACCTCATTCACAAGTTACCACTCTTTTGGTCTATGGTACCTCATCCTTGGGCTCTGGCTGTCGATGCCTTCACTCAGGATTGGTCCCACAAATTCCTTTATACCCTCCTATCTGATTACTTCATTGAATGATCTCTCTCATCCATACCACTCCGTGTTGAGTCCTGATTGCTCCTTATTGGCCAGCTCAACCTCGGTTTCTATGATTAAAACAACTGCAACATTTCCCTCCGGTACCTCTTCCTTTGTCTCCCTCCCTTCTTTGTCAACCTCGGTCACCAGTTCTACATCCAGCCATTAATGAGGAGATAAGGTTTCTCCCTTTGAGTAGCTTTCCTTATAACTCATTCCATATGTCCTTCATCAATGGAGGTGTATTAGCACAAATGGAAAGTGTTCCATAGTTGGTCTGCAACTCGGGGATCACTGACTGACCTACTGTGGCTTGAGTGGCAGAGTTTCTCACATGGCTTTTCGACCAGGGGTTATTGGGCTGACTTATCCTATAACTCTCATTTTTCCCGATACCATCACATTTTTGCTTCCCCTGTCCGTACCATGTTCCTTCCGGCAGCATACTCTTCCAGACTGGGATATTAATGTGGTCATCCATTCCTTTACTTTACCTCTGTTTGAACCACTTTCCTTGTGTTCCATGTTTCACCTTTCCCTTAAAATGTGTCTTCTTCTCCACTTAGTCTGTGGACGTCAAACGTCTGATTTGTTTGCCGTTGATGTACTCTTTACCACCCTACCTATCTTCTCCATTGTCTGGAGCATTCCTTCCTCCCAAAGACCTTGGCAGCTAGGGAGGGTAACTCCTTCTTTTTTCCTATTTCCCTTCCTTCTACTTCTCATCTCTACCCTTGTCCCGAACCTGACAGACTTCTGTGTCTGGTCTGTATTCTTCGTTGTTATATTGCCAACACAGCTTTCTTCCATGGCACCCCCTACCTGACTTTTTTGGGATCTTCCCTTTCCCCTTCTAACCTTACCAATTGGGTTGGACTTTTGATTGATTGGCTTATTCCTCCCGGAATTTGTTCCAGATATCTTCTCATCACTTCAACTTTTCCCTCCCATCTCATCTTCTTCGGCTAGTGGAGGAAATCTTACTGTCAGGCATGTGGACTACACCTAATACCTTTGTCTCCAATTATATTTACACCATATTGCATTTTCTTCATCGTTGGGTTTTCACCTTCCACCTGTGGACGTTCTTCAGGCTTCAGTGTGACTTTGACTGGGTAAGTTTATATTCATACTTTTCTTTCTTTCAGGGCCATTGCTTCATTTTCTCATTATATAGATTACACTCAGTGGCAAGTGGTGCCTGTCTAGATATACTATAATTTGAATTCTGCACTGTACAACCATGTTGAATTGCACTCTTTTCCATGGCTCCAAAATGCTCACTGGTGAGATGGGCTGTTCCACAGGATTGCTTGTAACTTTGTGACGTACTTGCTTCATAAACTTTGCCTGTTCCAGATCATACCACCCATTGACTGCATGGGTAAAGCAGAAAGAGATAGCTGCCCATCTCTGCCATGTCTTGATTGAATAAATCGGTAGGTCTGCTTTTCAAAATAGGGTTTTGTGGTCACCCAATGCACTGTCTCAAGTGATGACATTCCTCTGGACTGTCCACTGCATTCTCACTCTCCTTTCTTCTAGTGAAGTATGGGAGTCCTTACCACTTTCTTGTTCCAAGCCACTGGGGTGGTCAACTGTGAAGGCACCCTACTGAATGAGTTCCACACAAAGATGGCTATAACCATTCAGTGCAGTGCAGTGATGTTTTGCAGGTGAAGATGATGCAATCCTCCAATATGTAATATACACTCACAAAGGAGTGAGATGTCAAATTGCTGTCCACCCCTTCGATTGAAAGCCCTCAAGATAAGTCTTCACACATGTTTATGGTTGTCTGTATGCCTCCCTTGATTATACTCCTTCTGTGTTGTGAATCACAGTGCTATCCCTCGTTGTATCTTATTCCAAGGACGTTATTGCTTTTCGGATGGTTCCAGTCAGTTTCAGTAACTCAAAGCTAACACGTCATGCTCAGGATTAGGAGTGGTTCTAGATCCCCACTGGTCTCTTGAACGTGAAATGAAGACAGTATGAACCTCATCCTCCCCCTGCGTGGATGTTGGTTCTCAGCAGCATGGGTTTTGGGTGTAGTTGACTTACTTGACTTACTGAGTACGGTCTGTCGTCCCCTAGCCACTCTACAGCTAGGGGTATATCCATTCTTTTACCCACTTTTATACTTTGTGGAATTGAGTTACATATATATTTACTTAGTTAGGATCACTATCCTGCCACAGTTTTCTCCCACATGGATGTGCTCCTCACTTTTTCCATCCTTATCCACTACACATTTCATGGATGGGCGAAGAGCTTACCTGGTTCAGAAGTGGTGCAGTTCCCTTCATCAGACTCTCTCATTCTAGGGGTAACCTGTGGATGCTTTCGGGTGGGGATGGGGGGTTCTTCTGTCATTCCCTTGCACCGGTATTGCCAATCATGTGAGTGAGAGAAGTACTGTATACGAAATTACAATTTTCCTATACTGAAAATGTATTTCCTATAGGTACTTCCCTGCACTCACACTTCCCACCCTTCCTCCCCACTTTCCTTTGGTATGAGAGACATGTTGGAATAATTTGATTCCAATAGGGGGGAGCATAAGGCTTGTGGCATCTGTAAAGAAAAGATTTGCATATAGAGGTCAGCTTTGTACGAGAAAAGCTAATCTTGTGAGAGGAGGGAAGTACCTATCGGAAATACATTTTCAGTATAGGAAAATTATAACTTTGGCATAATAAACTTTTAATATTCATATAGGAAATTTTAGAGATTATACAAAGGAAATATGAAAACTGTAACATGCAAAAATGTATTTTATATTCTTAACATGAAAATCACCTTACATTTACACTAGTGAGAGTCTGAGTTAGACTGATTCAGGACATTCATAGACAAATCTTTAGTAAAGATATTTTCTTAAAATTTCTAATTTTTTACATACAACTGACCTTTCATGCTGACTAAGAGCTTGCCAACTTTTGTGAAGACACTCTTCTTACTTCAGAATTTTAATAAATATTAATTCTACAATACAGGGTTGCTCCATTGGATCAATCCTTGCACTGGGGGTTAATATTGTAAAGCTTGTTTCTTTTTTTAATTTTCAAACATATGACTAATTCTAATAATTTCTTTTTGTTTTATTAGTTCCTAATTAAAGTGAATGAAATTAAAACCAAGAAAGGCCAGGAACTTGTACAGCATTTAGTTGAGTATTACCAAGCCCAGCAAAGGTATGTTTCTTATTATATTCTAAATGTATATTATAATATCTATTGCTAGAAAACAGTAATTTGTAATTGTCTTTATAGCTGCTAAATTATTGATTGTTATATATAACTGTATTTCTTTAACAATAAACTACTTTTATGAGCATTTAATATTACCTTTTTACACAGTGTTTGTAAAGTGTTAATTGTATTTGCATTTTTCAAATAAAGATTTTTATACATGAGTAACTGGAATTAAAGTTTTCAGTTATAATTGAAATGACTGAGTATTTAAGTGCTTAAGTTTAATTAAAATTTCTTAATGGTTATTGTTATTTTTTATACCTCTCTTTTCTCCTTAACCCTCTTGCCAGACTGCATATGTCAGGATATTTTACAGAGTTACGTCTAAACTTTAATTAAACTACTTTATTATCAATGTATACAAATAGACTTGGCAATAAAACATAGTTAACAAATCAAATTTTAATATTATATCAGTTTTAATTTTATAAGGAAATATTTAAAAAAATTCTCCAGCATTAGAATTGTCACATTTGTTCTCTCGGTCTTTTCTCTTCTCTACTTTATTGATCACCTTTCTCTGAAGTACAGAATTTATTCTAAATCACTCATTATAGTATAGATATCATTAAGCCAGGTTCTAATTTTTATATCCTCAAATATTGTTTGTTTATGAAGTCACAAAGTTGAAATTCACACCTGTTTGACACATCCACATGTCGCATCCTCACTTTCACAAATGGACAATAATTCTCTCTGAAGTTTTATATCATTTATAACCAATAGTAGAATGGCTAAGTATTAATCATTTGAATGACATATAATGCTACATTGTTTTTAGTACAGAGTATTGTTAATTTCATCTTCAGATTGAAAGTTTACATTCTGATGTTTAGATTGAGCAACAAAGAAGATTAATTGAACCCCATCATGTCCTAATTAGAAAGCCAGTAAAATTATATTAGTTTTAAGGCATTGCTTTATGTGTGTTATTATTCTGTGTTCTTAGGTGCATTATTTGAATAAATAAAAATTATTTAATGAACTAGTACCATCATTATAGAAAAAAGTAGGCTTAAATATCATCAACAACTGACAGCAAAAAAGACAAGATCAAAGGCAAGTACCTATGTTCTTTATGGTTATAAACGAGATTAAAATGTAAAAATTAGAAATTTTGTAGGTTACTTAAGGTTTGATTAGGTATGCTTGCAAGCAACTTGTGTGTTATGTCATTCAATATGGTAATGTGAGTTACACATTTGCTGAGTGATTTACAACTTATGTGGCTCAAATACTAATTAGACACAGTTCAAAGAGGAATAAAAGTAAGCTTGTAACAGTCTACATCTGTAGACTGTTACAAGCTATAAGCTCTTTATGATAAACAATTTTAGTTTCCTGTTCCAATTTGCAGTAACTCCAGAAATAAAAAGGGTAATTTAGAATTATTACCTAATTTTTTATGGTGGTTATGAGGTTGGTCAAATACACTGACTGTTTAGTTATAGTATAGAAAATAACAGATACAATATAATGTTTTTCTTAAAAAAAAACATTTGATATTTGTTTAAGAGGTTTTGAAGAATATGCAAATGAATTAGAAAAGTTTCAGATGAAGAAAAGTATTTTTAATCTTAAAATGAAAATCACTTTGTACTCAGAGCAGTCAACATTCTGACACCATAAACGTTTATGTTACAATCTGTAGTCCTTTTAGAAAGAAAAAAAGTTAATTTAGAGGTTTATTTAGTATTTTTATGGTGGTTACAAGGTTGATAAAATTGAATGAGTCCATATAGAGTTAGCGTAGAGAAAATAACAGATAAAATATAAAGTTTTACTGAAAAAAATCATTTGATATTTATTTAAGAGGTTTTAGAGTCTACACTAATGACATTTGAAATTTTTCAGATGAAGAAAAGTAATTTTAATCTTAACATGAAAATAGCTTCATACTCGGAGTAGTCAACAGTTTGACTCCATATATTCACAAACAAATCTTTACTACAAATACTTAATTAAACAAGAGGGAATCCTCAATAGTATTGGCTGTAATTAGAACTCAAATCAGTCAAGAAATGGAGCTATGAGCTAAAAGTTTGTACTTTAAAAAAACTTGAAGCTATTCTTTGAACCACTATGTCATGGCTAAAAATCTGATTTTATGCGTACAAAAGACTTGTAATATTTACTGAAAACTTGCCAAATTTCCTGAACATACACGAAACATACTAAAAGCTATAGTATGGAAACTGATAGTTACTTTGTGGTTACAAGGTTGGTCATGTTTCCCAACCCCATATGGAAAGAGTTAATGGTTTATATTTTTCCTTCCTTTTATTTGTATTCTCTTCGTTTATCTTATTTCATTGTATGGAAACTAAAAAATATTCAGCTTTTGATTTATTAAAAGATTTTATGAAAATTACATGCAAACTTGTTGGATATTTTTGTTGTCTTTCAAAATTAATAGTGCATGCTGGAGGAATTTACACAATTTGTTAAAAAGGTCAGTATTATAACTATACTATAATATTAGAACAGTACTGAAACAATAATAATAATCTATACATTGTTAACTACACATTATGGCAGACTTGAGAAATAGAATATTACAAGCAGTTTTATAATTTAATTAATACTCTAATATCAAACAGTTGTATGTACTAACCCTGATGGAGCTGCAAAGGCAAAATATTGGTTAAAATAAAAAGTTCTATCATGATTATCTGGAGAATAAAAGTTGTTTTTTTTTTCTAACCTTTTCATCAAACTTGTTGGATATTTAAAAGTAAAATAACTGATGTGTTCATTGGGATGTAGAGAAGAGATTGAGTTGTTCAACAAATCCTAATTTTACACAAATTTTGTTATTACAGTGGTATTAAAATTAAACAGTAAAACAATATAAGTTACTACGAAATTTTCTCAAGAATAACCATTTTTTATGAGAATGAAAAAAGGTTTGCCATTATAATTTGGAATATTGAAAGAGGTAGAGAGAACTTATAAAATCATTTTAATAGACTCCCAAAATTTAGTCTTTGGGATGTTGTAAAGACATCTAAGATTCTGAGTCAGTATTATGTATTATACACAAAATGTATTCATTTGGAATTAATTTGGTATTGTTGACAAACTAATTGTGAGTTGGAGGTCTCGCTCCCAAACTTGAAGAGAAGTTCTTCAAGTAACACTACTTTGACCTCAAAATGTGATATCAAATAATTTCTTTTGTTGATACAGTTAAACATTTTCATCAATGAGATCTTAAGTTATTAGATTACAAGGAATAATTTTTCTTCCTAACATAATGATTCAAAATTCTAACAAACCAGTATCATTGTTCTGTGATTCTCCTCATTCTAGCTACATTTTCTTTATGTTTAACTTCCTCTATCCACATAATCTTAAAATGAGTGGATAGTTACCACATTGACGGTGCTTTGTGCATTGTTTTGAATAACAGTAATACATTTAATGAGATAGCTGTATCCTGCAATATTTTTATGGAAGTTATTATTATACATAAGGTTTTTCAGGCACTGGTTTTCTTGGATTCATGTCATTATAATTTACAGCTGACTTCTGTGAAGAAGTGCAAGAAGTAGCATCAGTAAAGTGTTTACAACCAAGTAAATATTTTTTGCTTTTTCAGCTTTACAAAAAGATAATTTTTTTTTTATAACTTCAATATTTATAAATTATTCTTCAATTGTCAGTTATTTCCAAGATGGAGTGAAAATGATGGCCCAACTGAAAAATTATATTGAGAATCTTTCTGGTCAACTCCATAAAATTCGGCTTAACCAGGAGGAAGAGAGAAAAAAATTAGTGGACCTGAAAACTTTGCTACTTAATTCTCCCTCTCTAAACCTTTCAGAGGTAAAGAACAGTAATTCCATGATTTTATCCGGTGATAGTAAGATAAAGGGAGATTTCAAGTAATCAAATTACTAATATAAATATAGGTTTCACCTTGTGGACTTCAGATGTTATAGGGTTTTTAAAAACTGGCTTTTTTAAATGTTGTGTTTTTCACAGCGTATATGAACATATATTGTTGAACGTATCTCATTACTTCTATAATTGTTAGTCACTGGATTGTTTTGTAAAAAGTTACATTAGTTTTTCATAGAACCTTCATAATAAAGTCAATTCATTATGACAGAGTCGTTTGGACAAGTAATAAGACAGAAAGAAAATATTTTTCATTTCTAATATTGCTGAAGGTGGATGATCTAAGCCCAAGTCACACACACATTCTTTATGTAGTTATTTTGATTGTAAAAATGATGTAATTCTAACACACAAATATAATTTTTCTGCAAAATTCTTTTAAAGATGAGGTATCTTGTATTTATTTTTAACATCAAGAATATCATTTTATGGTCATGATGGTTAACATGTATTACATTGGTAGATTAGTGGTACATTTATTAAGTACTACAAAATATGGGTTTAATATTTGTTGAGACTGTAAGCGAGATTCAAAGTTGACTGTGAGGCAGTCATTCATTAATATTAGAAAATACATGAATGCCTACCAACATTGATAATTTGAAATGTGTTTAGTCAAGGTATGAGAAAATAAGATTTTAAAATTCAAACTTTTGAGTTTTCATGTACAGTGTATGAGCTACAAATGTTACAAGAAAATTCCAAGTTGTCAGAATCATCTGTAAAATTAATGTGTATCCAAGGTCACATGTTCAGAATCAAAACAACATAGCTGGGTTTAAGCCTTAGCTAAATATTTGGTTGATGGGGTGAAAAATACTGAATTCCTTTTTGTGTAATAGTTTCAGGTTGCACATATTTTGGTTTGGGAATAAAAGTTAATTAATGGCATGATATTATTTATCTTGTACATACAATTTTTATAGAGATTTTTAATTTTGCTTATTTTTTCCAGTCAGAATTATGTGGTGTTTGTTTAGTCCACAGGCTCTGTAGTTTCTGGTTACACTTTACATCAGTTGAAAGGAGATAAAACACATGGCTGTAAGAAAACTGGATATCTTTACAAGAAGTCTGAAGGAAAGATGAGAAAAGTTTGGCAAAAACGGAAATGTGATGTTCAAGATGGATTTCTGTTTGTTTACCATTCTGATGTAAGTTCATAGCATACTTTTGGTTTTGATAAACTTCAGAATTTATTTAAAAAGTATTTTTGAATAGGTGAACAGTAATTATCAATCAGAACATACTATAGTACTATCTTGAAGTAAGTTCTCAAATCTAATCAGTCATTCATTGTTTGCATTTCTTTCTAATATGGTGCATGAACTTTGTGTCACAGTCATCGTGACAATATAGAAATCTAACGTGCACTTTTGCAAATTATTATTAATGTTAACTAATATCAAAATTATACATAAGAAAGCTACTAAACAACAAATGCTATTTCTAACTGAAGACCACAGTGAAATATAATGATAATGCTCAATAATTAAAGTTTGTGTTAGCTTATGAATAACAGGATATTCAATTAGCCCCATGGATATGGGCTTGGTCATTTTCACCAACTATGTAACAGTGAAACTATACTAAGTGTGTCTTGATGAAATTGGTCAACTTTCAGTAATGTTTTTAACAAAATTTTTATGCTAAAGGTTAGTCTGTAAATTTACAAAGCCTTTACTGAGTCAGTTTGAATGAAAGTTTATTTTTATACTATGAATAAATATACTTTTTCATTTTACAGTTTTCATAATTCATTTGTATAACCTCTAGAAACTCCAAAATATCAGAAATTTTTTTTAAATAAAACTTTATCTCATATTTCCATGCCCTAACTGTAGTAAGCTCATCTATGTACAGTAAAGCAAAAAATATGAAATAATTATTTTTTCTAGAATGATTTCAGATAATAACAGAAACTACAGTTATTTATTTCTAAAGTTTCAGCTTTCTAACTTTTTAAAATGTGATTTCTTTTAGTTTTATTTCTTTATTACTCTACTTTGAACCATCTTCAAAACCGTAATGACCGATATATCAACTAGAAAGGGAGCAGGTAGCTTAGGGAACAAAGTATCAGATTACATCAGATGATGTCAAATCACTTCTTGTATGTTCATCTAGGAGTGATCATGAGAAAACTTAATTTTATATATATATTTTTTTTCATATAAGTTTTGTAATCTAACTTAATTAGTGTTTAATTTTTACATTTTGTAACATTTTTTAAAAATATATAACAATAAGTAAAAACTATATGTAAATAATAAGAAAGCACTTACTTTAGCTATGAGACCCTTGATACTTGAATGCATGTTAGTAATCTTTTTGTTGTCACTATGAGAAGATTGTCTGAAAATGTCTATAATTTGTCAGGTTTTCGAACTATCTTATAAGTAGATGAAACACTTCCACTACTGGTCAGAGCAATGACTTTACTCAACATATGTCAAGCTTTTCTTGCGAACTGTCAGTCTTGAATGCTGAAACAAAACAGATAACTGTCTGCTTTATTTGCTTCAAAATATACGCTTATTACTGGTTATAAACATGTCCAATAACAATGTTAGACATTTCCTAGAAAATAGAGGATATGTGAGTAAAAGTGTCTGTGTGGGTTGTATAGTTATAGTGGTATCTCAGTAAAGTAAGAATATAATACATTTATTACAATATACATAATAATATTACTGGTTATAAACATGTCCAATAACAATGTTAGACATTTCCTAGAAAATAGAGGATATGTGAGTAAAAGTGTCTGTGTGGGTTGTACAATTATAGTGGTATCTCAGTAAAGTAAGAATATAATACAAGAGGTTGAAATTTTATAGTCTGACTTGTTAGTATGTATAGTATGTAGGTATAAGTAGTATAACAAACTGAAACCCTTATAAGGGAAGAGAAGAAAATGTAAATAAGAAGTCACAGTGCCACTGTGTGATGTAACTTGGAGGGATATAGATTGAGAATTTATTTAAGTATTTCTTTTTCAAATTATAGATAATATAAAAATTTGAATTATAAACTACATTTCCATGCAAAGTATATTAATATAAATTGCTAACAAAGTAGTTAAAGTAAATTTTGAATGTAATTCTGTAAAAGGTCATTACAGGTGCACTTTGACCCATTTGTATCTATAGCATTAATATTTGTAGTCATGGAATTTAAAAATGTATACCATCAAAATGCTGAGAATTATAATGTTTAACTCTATTGCCACGGGTATCCTTTACTGTGCATGACACAAGGCTTTAGTGTCATACATTCAAAATTTTATTGAACTACTTTTTGTTTATGTTATACCAATTTTTGATAGTATATAAGTTTTACGTTCTTAATTCTACAAGGCAATATTTTAAAAAAATCCTGAATTTCCAGTAGTGTGACTCACGTGACACATTTTCTCTTAGCATGTTCTCATCCCTATTTTATCCACCACCCCTCGGAAAGGTACAAAATTTAACATAAATTACTCTCTATAAAATCGTTATTGCTCAGACAAACCATAATTTTTATAGTCTTCAATTTTGTTTGGTTACAGAGCTACCAAATAGAAAATCAAACCCCTCCTGTCACACCCTCTCTTTCAGAATTTGTTGATAGTTCTTTCTTACGTTTCATTATATATTACCTATAACAAATAGAAAGTCAAGGTTTCATCTATCAAATGATGTATTGTATAACATTATATTCTGAACAGTTGGAGGTCAGTTTCATTTAGAGTAGCAACATCTTTCCCATGGGAAAGTTAAAGACTAGCTTGGATGAATTTGTAATGACTCTTGTTGCACAGTTAGAAAGCTAGAAAAATTTTGAAAGGTAAGGGAATTTGTGGACTTTTTGCATGTTATTAGTCTATATTCTTTTGTGCATTATTTAATTAAATTAAAATTATTAAGTGCATTACTATCATTAGTATAAAGAATTAGGGTTAACTATCTTTGAAAATCGACGGAAAGAAAAAAAGAAGATTGGATGAGTATTTTATTTCTTGTTTGTCATGTTTATTCTTTATGTCAAATTATAAAAGTAACTAAAATGTAAAAATATTATATTATAATATAAATGTTTCATGAGGCGCACAGATCATGGGTAATGAAATTCGTTAGCGTAACACGAGTTTCATGTTCCCTGAGTGATTTACAACTTATAATGGTACAGTTAGTAGTAATACACGGTTCAAAGGGCAATAAAACAATAAAATGTAATTATAAATAAATGTATACTGTTATGAACTTAGAGCTATGTAGGATAAATGAATGTAGTTTCATGTTACAATTTGAAGTCATTCTAGAAAGAAAAGAAGGGTAACTTAGGTTTTTTTGTTTTTTTTGGTTACGAGGTTGGTCGAATTGGGTAGAGATAGGGTAGCTAAAATATCAGATAAACTATAAACTTTTACTGAAAAAAAGACGTTTGAAATGCGTTTAGGAGGTTTTAGGGATTATACTATGGAAATTGGAGATTTTTGAGATGAAGAAAAGTATTTTTAATTTTAACATGAATATTTCTTTGCACACAAACTATTCAAAACAAATACTCAATATATTCATAGACAAATATTTATTTTATTTTATTAAAAATACTTCACTAAAAATATGATTTTTTGTGTGTGAAAGACTTGTAATATTAACTGAAAGGCTGCCAAATTTTGTGAAGATATACACACTATGTTGAAAGTTAAAAGTATTAAATTCATAAAGACTTTAAATAAGTACAAAGAGGTCGCATGGTTGGTCAAATTGATCGAGCCCGTATTGAGAGAGTTAATCAAACAAACATTTTGCTGTTGTTGGTAACATGCTATTTGAAAAACAGAAAAATAAAATTCATTAGTTTATTGTTTGTCTTTATTTTACCAATGTTATTTTTTGTGCACAATTATTTTTATAACAAGGAATACACACTTCTTATATTTTGGTATAATTGCATCTTTAGTATGAGAATATGTTTATGTGTACAAGAAATATAAACTTACTAATAGTTATAGAGCATTTACTTTAATATATGCATAACAGATTACATTTTGATCATTTAATTTTGTTTAAAAATGTTTTGTGTTAATACAACATGTTCATTCTGTCTAATTCCTGGTAGAAAGACTATTATTCCATATTCACTAGTTTTGCTATTTATAGTATACATGTGTTAGTTTGTTCTCAAATATTGTATTTAACCAATTGATGCTCATTGAAATCCATAATGTATATAGATCAACCACTCACATACGGAATCATGTTGCATAGCACCTTGTCACTATAACTTTGGAAACAGTTCTGATAAAGAAATAATGACCAATGGAAATATAGCTCCTGTTGGCACTGTGTATTTTTTGTTATTGTTTCTGATCCTTTTTTATGTGTCCAACAAGCAAAATGCTTGATAATAATGATAATAGAATAATTACTCTGATATATGGATAACTAATTAGGTGTTATGTGATGCACAATATTTACTGTTTCTGACTAATCATTATGAAGTTTTAAAAACTTCACCAGTTACTTAGAGAAATTTTCCTCATTAAAATGAATAAGCTCAAAATTTTTAGTTTTTATACATGAAATTGGGATGTGTGTCATTGTAAAGCTTTTAAAAAAATTACAGATAATTACTTGAAACACTTTATTTGAATGTGATTACTTTTTGCAAAACACAAGAATTGTTTGTTTGAATGTAAGTTCAGTAGTGAAGATTTAGAAAGTATAAATATGAATAAAGATTCTACTTTCAGTTAGAGAGACATTTATAATTTAGTGTTCTAGTAGAAATTTATATAAAAAAAGTTGTTATTCTAGAAAGACATATATAAGTTCAGAAAGGAACTGAGTTTTTGTTTTTATTGTTTAGGAAAACAGACCTCCTACCAAGCTTAATTTGTTAACTTGTCAAGTGAAGGTAAGGGTTTGTATCAGTGGTTTTTCCCCTCTTAGTTTTTCCCTCTGTATGTTGTTACTAGAGCTGGATGATTAGTGGAATTTGCTAATTGATTAATCATTGGCTCATTGATAGAGTACATTCAATTAATCAGTTATTTTCACATGAGACTAAAATTCATATGTTCAGCTTGTTTTTGTTTTTTTGAAGACATTTTATCTTTAGATACAACAATTTTGGATTTAGTTATTTCTTTAATCCAAAATTGTTGTACATGAAAATGTATCATATTTGCAATATAATGGGATTCATCTTACAATTTTTTACATGAAAATTCTTCTAAAACTGAATAAACTAAATGACTGAAAGTTAATATGAATTATTTGTTAAAAGTATTTGTCCTTAGATTTTATATATTCATTTAATAAAGTAGTTTACAGTACAGGCTGGAAGAAACTTTAGAATTACTGCATGCTTAGAAATCAATAAATCCAACAATTTAAAGCTTAACTTAACTACTAGCAGGCATTGTTTAAGTAGAACATAAAAACAGTTTGACTTTTGTTTTCCCTTTTCAATGCTTTCTATTTGATTAGAGCTAGTTGTAATTAAGTAGGAATCCTCTTCATGTAGACAGGTTAATGGCTTAATGGTGTTACATATTGTTAGACTGTTATCAGGTTATATCTAATAATTTCAGACAAACACATTTAAATGAGCAGGTTATTCAGCAATCAAAATGTTTTTAGCAAACAAAGAATAATGATTATTAACTTGCTGTATCTTTTTTTTTTTCATCAAAGCATTTACCCTAAATAACAGTTGTTATTTGTGTAGCATCTAAAAATTAAACAATATATTAAGTTAAAGCTACAGTATTGTTTAATCCAACTAAGATAAACATGAAAAACAAGCATCACTTTAGCTAGCTATATAACCAATTATGATCAGGCCATATTCCCACAACCTTGAGTTGTGCATCCATATCCTACCAACAGAAGTATTACTAGCTATTCTGTAATGTGTGATAGTTCAGTTGATACTGTTTGAATTTGAACAAGTTTGTTTGAATTATGGCAAAGTTACTCAGTCACTTACAAGATGTTAACATGTGCTGATCCTTACTTGCACAAAGGTTATGTATGACCGAAGCTAGAATTTTGTAACAAGGGGTGATACTGATGCTTGTACAAATTGATATGAATGTTTTTTTTGTGTTTTATCTTCTGTGTAAGTTATTTGGAATAGGCAGTGATGTATGCAGCTAGGGAATGTAATTTTTGTCCTGTGTGGATGTTTTAGAAGATTCCTGTATCACAGCAGCCAGTGAGAAGTCATTATACGAAATACAGCAGTTGGCCACTAAGTTATGACTTACACAGTTGTTGTGGTTAATTATTTTATTTGTTCACTTATGTACCAGATTTTTCTTTTCTGTTTTTATTCTTCAACTAAGCTGATATAATTTAAAAATCAATCCTATTTGTTGGTAAAGAATAGCCCAAGAGTTTGTGGTGGGTGCTGCTGGCTGATTGCCTTTTTTCTGATTATAAGTTCAAAATCAAGGAAGGTAGCAGATAGCTTTAGTACCTTTGCCATAACTTAAACCAAAGAAACAAATATTATTACCTATTTCAGAAAGTGTGAGCATGGTCAGTGGCAACGGCAATTAAAGTGAAACCCTCGAATCACAAAGCAACCCCTAATCACCAGGTGATGCTAGCCTGAAACTGAAAAGACTTAAATTAATTGGTAAAAATAATAATCAGAAATCATAATTGCTGTATTTTGATTACCTGGATACTTGAAACAATTAGAAACACTAATTTTGATTAATTGATTATTTTTGTGAGTTGTGATACTGACAAATAGTAAAATTTCTTTGGGGATGAAGTTAATATTTTTGGATTGCTATGTTATACCGTTTCTTATATACGCATCAGAATGTTGGACAATGTTGCTAAGTATGGTAAAGAAAACTGAAGCAATTGAGTTGTGGTTCTTAAGGTGCATCTTGAAGGAACATTGGACAAGTCACACCTCAAATGAAGATATTTTGTCAAGAGCACGTTTGCAGGAGGAAGCTGCCGACTGAAATCAGAAAAAGACAATTGGAGTTTTTCAGACACATTATGAGGAAAGAGAAATTGAAAATCTGGTTCTAACTAGAAATAATGAAGGAAAAAAAGACCATGGAAGACAGGTTGACTTATGTCAAGAGTATCAAAATGGATGAATGTATTGACATTGAAAATTCTTTGTACCTTAAGGAGAAGATATCTGTGGAAGACCATGGTCACCAATGTCCTGTTTGGATGTGGTACCTAGAGAGAGAGAGAGAGAGAGACACTAATTTATTAATGGGGTTTTTAAGTCTTTTTCCATCACAAATTGGTGAAATTGAAAAGAAATGTGTAACATATATATGTAATCATTAAAAACTAATTAAGTTGAACATAATTGAATTAATCAAAAATAATAATGAGAAATCATAATGTTAATACATTCAACTCTCAATTATTCGGGGTAAAGGAGATGGAAGGCTGCATGAATAATCGAAAAACATGGATAATTCAGAAATCTTCATTTTTTTCATTTTTATTATAAAGCATGTTAAAATGACTTAATATTTTAATACTATAATATCATTGTAATTGAATCCTGACTGTTCCATATAATCTAAGATGGTATCAAGGCATTGCAATGCCATACTATTACTTGTGTGATTGCCTTCTGGCTATTTTAATTCACTCATACTCTCATGGCTGTAGTCCTCTTTCTCTCCCTCTTGTTGAACTGCATTTGCAATATCAAAACTGCCCATGTGTTCAAAATCTGTGTCACACTTGTCACTGTCAGACCATTCTGTCAGATTTATATCATTTGCATTCTCAAATACATCTTCGTCAACATCATGTAAGATTGCGACCAACTCAGTGTTGTTGACTTCATCATCATTAAATTTTTTAATTCATTTTCTTCTGTATCTAAAATATACTGTATATCTTTTCCTCCTTGACCAAACAAGTGTTATGTGTTTCACACTTATCCATACTTTGGATTTGGGAAACATTATAATACTTTCAATACCGTAAGTTCCTTCCATAGTGTCATCAATTTATAGTCTTCAGCAAGGGTCTTGAGAAAACCAGCCTGGTAGTGATGTTTCATTGACATTATAACAACTTATTCTATGGGTTGAATTAAGGGCATGATATTTTAAGGCAACACTTAACAAAAATGAAACCATCATCGGAAGTCAAAATGCTTTCATATGGACGTGAAAGGGCATTGTCTAACAATAGAAGCTGCAACATTACCACTTAGTCCTTTGCATTCAATGTTGATTTCATGATTGCCATATCTTTGCTAAATTTGGTAAGGCACTCAGATGATGTGTTCAATTCCCCTTCCAATTTTAATGCTTTATGAAAAAATTTACCTTGCTGTGCACACAAAAGTTCAGAAATAAGTATTGCTTCTGCTGTTTTGCTGGATGAACCACTGAAGCATAACCACATCAAAATTTTGTGTTGACTTTTACATGGACTTTCATTTTGCCAGTACAGACCTTTTGCCAACTCACCAACCTTGCTTGGTTTTCCTTTGTCCTGAACAGTTTGTACACCTGTCATCTAGTCTTCAGCTAATTTAGCTGCAGATTCTTCTTTCTCTAATTTATTGATTAACTCGAGTTTTTATTTTATCATCAGTACAATTTTCTTTTGTTTTTCATCCATTTTAATTTGGGCCTATCACACCACAATAGTACAGCCATACTAATTATACCGTGTGATACTTTGAGACACACTGAAGCTACTGTATGAGAACTTCATGAGGGAAGAAATGATGATTAAAAAAATGCAACATGAATACTCCCCACACAAATAATCTGGAGTTAACTGTATTTTGATTATTTGGATAGTTTGTATAATCAAAAATATAAATAACTGGAAACGCTAATATCAGTTAGTTATTTTCATGACATTATTGATTAAATCAGTGGTCATAAATTGGTGAAGGTTTTGAATTGTATAGATTTAGTGCCAATGGAAATTTATTTATTGTCAAAACATCAATCTAGTAATCTGCAAATGTTATATTAGTTACTTTTATGACAACTTCTCCAATTCATACTTTCCTTGCATTTTTTATGCATATACTTGTGTATCTAAGGGAGAAAAACTGTAATGAATGAGCTTGTCAGCATGATCGTGTGTAATTTTTAATCTAGAACAAATATTGTTTGGAATCATTACTCTAACCATTTTCTCTTAATTTTCCATTCAATTATTTGTGTATTTAGTCGTCAGGTAAAAAATAGTTATACATCTCCAAACAGTATAAAACATTAAAATGATATTTTCAAAAATATGATGTTGGTAGTGTTATTTGTGCTACTTTGTTCAACAGCACTGAATACCTACTTGTTTAGAAGTCATGAAAATAGAGATTGATTAGTTTTTTAAATGTTTTTCTTTCTTTTGTAGTTAGTCCCAGAAGAAAAGAAGTGTTTTGATCTTGTCTCATGTAAGTTGCCTTTTTCAATTATTCAACACAAAGGATCAAAGAGTATTATGAATCAAGCATATTAATACAAGAAACTGTTTCTCCTCATTTAGTATGAGTTGATGCTTTTGTGGTGCTCAGTTTCTACTATGTCTGCAGTGTTGTAGGATTTTCATTTATAGTATACATGCATAATATTAAAACTGTCTATTCCAGTAGGTAAAAGTATAATATCTGTTCTTCCTATAAAAATTAGAAAAACCTTATTATGAAGATCACATCACCAACCATTTAGTAAATTTGTTCTGTGTGCTTTAGCTGATGTAGTACCAAGAGCCTTCTGTGAGACTTATTTTATTAGATGTTTTTTTTTTATATGATAAACAGTAGGTAATTTACCAGGGTTGCCAATTATAAGAAGACACAGTGCACAGGTTAAACATAGGGAACCCTGTGGATGACTCATGGGGGTCCAATCTGAATGTCTACTCCACTATGTCACCCACTTGGGGCTCTATGGGTACATGTCAGATTTGGTTATCTAGTTATAAGAAGACATACACAAACATATCTCAAATAAGATTCAGATAAAGCATATGTACAAATTATTTATGTGAGTGTATTGTTATTTTGTAAGCACTATTTGTGTTTAACTTTTTCAGATCATTCGGTCCCTGGGACTGACTTTTAATCATTTTGTGCTTGCTATAGTTTTCATGCTATAACTTTTAAATTACTAAGCATATGTTAACGAAATTTAGCAGATTATCAGTAAACATTACAATGCTTTCATATGCAAAGGTTTGTAAAGCATCGTTTTTCTCGAGCCTTTTTTTTTTCTGTTTACAGGTTGCCTATCCAACATGCAAAGTAATTTGCATTTTAAGATTAAAAATACTATTATGCATCAGAAAATTTTGAAATTCTACATGCGAAATCTTTATAATGCCAAGATAGTTATCAAATGTGTCTTAAGAAAAACTTTGTATTTTACTTTCAGTAACAACTTTCTGTACAGGTTTGGGAGATTTGACCGATCTCTTAACCACCATAAAAAATTTGGAAATAAATATAAATTATGCCTCTTTCATTCCAGAATGAGAACTAATTATAACACGAAAACATAAATGTTTAGACTAAATAGCATAAATCTCGTAACATTATACATTTATATATATATATATATATATATATATTTATTATTTTTATTATATTGTCCTTTCACCTGTGCCTGGCTAACAATACAGAAGTTACAATGATGCGGCACATGTGCACTCATGTTACCATATCCAATAATATAAAACTGACCTTTAGTCTTTACAAAGTGACCTGTTTTGGCTGTGTTTTAGTCGACTAGTATTTTGTAAATAGTCGCATTTCAATTATTATACATTATATATGTTTATAGATTATTGCTATTTAGAAATAAGTTCTTAAACATATTTTTCTTAACAAATAGAACAGTAAATAAAGAAGTAAAGCAAACAATTATCTCTTCTAGTTATGACCTTTGTACTTGGATTCTGCCTGATGTAGGTTGCTAAGCATTTTAAAATTTTGCACGTGGAGGATATGAAGCAAGATACATTTTTTTGTAGGTTTTATACATACAGTTGAATAACCAAAAAACCATAAATTACTATATCAATACCATGGAATTCTACTATAATTTAGTAACTAAGCTGTATTTTTGTCTCAAAAAATATGAAATTTCGAGCAGACAAAAGACATAACCTACCACCTTGAAATCTTGGTTCGAAAGAAAGAAGTAACATCCAAACACATTATAAAGGCTGAGAAAGCCATTATGGGGACTTTCTGAGGTTTCGATTGGTTATTCATGTTGTATATAGATGTAATCTATAATACTGAAATTTGAATTATAATGTGTAGTTTGATACCAAAGTTATTGACATAAATTCATGAAATAGTAGTTCACTAAAATTTTGATTGTGAGTCAACAAACGCGATGACATGGCCTTTTATTCATGTTCCATATGGAAAGGGTTAACAGAGCTAAACCGTATCTTAACTCTTCCAACACAGGGTCGGTCAATTTGACTGAGTCACGTGACCTTCTGTGCTCTTTTAAAGTTGACATAAATTTAATACTTATAACTCTCTATATATATTGGTTATATCTTCAAAATTTGACAGTCTTTCAGTTAATATTACAAGTCTTTCACATACAAAAAATCATATTTCTTAGTGAAGTACTTTTACTAAAATAAAATGAAGTTTTGTCCATGAATATATTGAGTATTTGTTTTGAATAGTTCGTGTGCAAAGTAATTTTCATGTTAAAATTAAAGATACTTTTTGTCATCTCAAAAATCTCAAATTTCCTTTGTGTAATCCCTAAAACCTCCTAAATGCATTTCAAACGTTTTTTTTCACTAAATCCTTATTGTTTATATGTTATTTTCTCTACCCTAATCTCAAAACGGGATCTGTCAATTCGATCGACCTCATAACCAGCAAAAAAAATTGAAATAAACCTAAATTAACTTTTTTTTCTTTCTACATTCGTTTATCCTAAGTAGCTCTAAGTTCGTAATATTATACATCTATTTATATTTAAATTTTATTGTTTTATTTACCTTTGAACCATGTTGTTACTCAAAGTGAAATTGATGGTTATCTGTTTAGAATACAATGTTATACAATACGCCATTTCATAGATGAAAACCTTGACTTTCTATTTGGTTATAGGTAATATATATAATGAAATGTAAGAGAGAACTATCAACAAATTGTGAAAGAGAGGATGTGACAGGTGGGTGTGGCAGGAGGAGTCTAATTTTCTCTTTGATAGCTCTGTAACCAAACAAAAATGAAGGCTATAAAAATTATGGTCTGTTTAAGCAATAACGATTTTATATTGAGCATTTTATGTTTAATTTCGTAAATTTTCGAGGGGTGATGGATAAAACAGAGATGATGACATGCTCAGAAATGATGTCATGTGTGTTACACTAGTGGAAATTCAGGATATAACTTAAAACTTATATACTATTAAAATATGGATTATTAGCCAAGATTTTATGCTATTCTAATTGGTATAACATATACAAAAAGTAGTTTAATAAAATTTTGAATGTAAGACACTAAAACCTTGTGTCATGAGGAATAAAGGATACCCATGGCAAAAGGATTAAGAACTTATTTGTAAATAGTAATAATGTATATACATATATTATGTATAATAATTAAATTTGACTGTATTTTAGAAAATACTAGTCCACCAAAACACAGCCAAGACAGGTCACTTTGTAAAGACTAAAGATCAGTTTTATATTATTGGATATGGTAACATGAGTGCACATTCGCTGTGATATTATAACTTCTGTATTGTTAGCCAGGCATGAGTGAAAGGTCATTATAATAAAAATAATAAATATATATAAATGTATAATATTGTGTGATTTAAGCTATTTAGTCTAAACATTTGTGTTTTCGTGTTATAATTTGTAGTCATTCTAGAAGGAAAAAAGGCATAATTTATATATTTTTTCCTAATTTCTTATGGTGGTTACGAGATTGGTCAATAGACCGAACCCATACTGAGATTCATTAGTGAAAATAACAGATAAAATATAGTATTTTCTTAACAAATGTTTGATAACTATTTGGATGTTGTAAAGATTTCACATGTGAAATTTGGAAATTTTCTGATGCATAAAAGTATTTTTATTCTTAAAATGAAAATTACTTTGCATGTTGGATAGGCAATATGCATAAAGAAAAAACAAAGCATGAATAAAACATTCCTTAACAAACCTTAAAACTTAATAGAAAGATATGATATTCTGCATATGCATATGCTTACTAATTTAAAAGTTATAGCATGAAAACTATAACAAGCACAAAATGGTTACAAGAACGGTCTCAGGGATTGAGCATGTGCTGAAAGAGTTAATATTACTCTCTGCCTTCTTACTATAGGTATCCTGGTGTCATGTGTGAGATTTGAGGGAGACAATTATTGGAAATTTTTATGCACCTAGAAAAGTGCTTGAAAATTACTTTCCATGCTAATATTTTGAAATTGTCCTTTAAAAATAAAATATTTTTTATATATCTTTCTCACATCATATGTTTTAAATAATCCAATAACTTCTATGCCAGTGGAAGTTGGAAATTTACAATCTAAAGGAGTATAATAGGACCAAAGGAGAATACTTTGTTCTTTGTTGATTGATGTAATATATCACCAATCTCAAGGTTACAGTTAAAAGTGGCATCTTTGTTTTTTATAATGGGTCTTAAGACAATTTCTGGTGGAAATACCTTAGAAGAATCATTTTTATGTAGTTGAAAATTAGAGATATACCAACATAAATACTTTACATCTGTCATCAGCTAGTATTTTACCATATTGGTAATATCAGTTGTCTGAAAGTTCGTCTACACAAATATTGATATAATTGATATTTAAAAAGTGAGGAAGTTTAGATAGCATTTTCGTTAACATTTAGTTGATGTGTTATTGTATTGCACTATAACTTGCATATATTCACCACCAATGCTGTAAAGATGCAAATCTCACAATAACACTAATTTAAAAGTAAGATTCCACAGCCTGAAATGTCATTGTTAATTTATCATATGCAGAAATTATTCTATCAATCTGTGAGGTTCTACACAAGTTACACTAAAAACTGTTGGTGTAGGCCTAATTTAGCAGTTTGTTATAGAAGTCAAACCTATGGTATTGAATTTCTTTTAATTTGCCGTATATTTGCTGTCCGTAATCAATGGTGGTGTGTATACGAGATGTGCATGTAGCCACAGGAGCAGTGGTATTGATGGTAAGAGAAAAGATTCTTATTTTGGGGTGCAGTGAAGTGAAAGTTTGTAACCAATCATTGCAAAAATAGGTGTCACTTCAATTTAGAGTGGTCTATAGATTCAAAGTATGAAGAATGTGTCACAGAATATTTACCAAACAAATTCTGTGCCAGATGTATAGTTTGTGACAAATATTTGATATTGATAATAAGAGTGAGGCTGCATTGTGTAGCTTCATGTGTGAAAAGCAACAACTTCTATTTCACTATCCAATGCTGGTAGTGGGAATGAGATGATAATCATAATAAACACTGGCTAAACATTATCAGGTATAAAATTATTTTGGGGTAATTTGTAAGTAACTTTTGTTTTACAAGGTATATGATACTAATAAAACTTGTGTTTCAGTGTAATAAACCTTTGGGTATGGAAATTGGTAATTAGTTTTCAAAAGTTTTGGAAAATTCTTGGAATTTTTTTACTTGGAAAGTTTCCAAACTCTAACTTGCAACTTTTTAAAATTGGCCACTAATGGTTAGTTTAAAGTTTGTGTCTAGAAAGATCATAAGATAAAAGATGCGGGGGAGTTTGATCATAGGAAACATAATAAAATTTATGTTTTCTCAAGTGTATTCACATATTTCGTTAAAGTTTCGTGCAGGTGTTCTGCATGTAATAAACAGCATCATTGTCAACTGCATGTAGGAATATCATCCATTTAAATCCACCTTATGTCTAAACAGCATATAGGAGCTTGTGCTGAAATTCAGTTTCAATAACACAAACTAATGGAAATGGTATCAAATACTCCCTGGACAGGATACTAGTCCATCACCTGATGATGAGAAAAACCTTGTCGAAATGTTGTATATTTGCTGTTATGTTAAATTTATATTAAAGCTTTTCTTCATTACCCATTCAAGCCATCTCCAAGTGTTATTAGTCTCAAAGTGGGTTCCTCGACATAAAAATTAAAAACAAACAATCAGTTTACAGTCCTGTGTGCTTACCACGAACTGTCGTTTCTCATTAAAAGTTTTATTATTTAACCTATGAAGTTTTTAATTTTTAGCTAGTTTTGTTAAAAAATATATAACAATAAAAATTATACATAAAACAAGAAATTTAGCACATCTGAATTGAGTGCAAATTAAGGCCAGTGTAAATTTGGATGCCATTGTTTAGGAACCCTGCTTATTTCTCACCATTTTTATGGTCCAAAAAATAGTTCACGTACCTCTCAAATATGCATTGTAGAACCCCAAAAATATATAATATGCATTAGAATATAGTGTACCAAAAGTACTATAAGTTATCAGGCTTTCTAAGTAGGCTGTATGTAGATTACAAAAAATCTAGAAGCACTCTGAACAAAGAACTATGATTACCAAAACCAAATTCTTCTGCTGACTAATGGTTTACATAAGAAATCTCTGCATTGGTTAGAAATATGCTCATCAGCTTTCTAAGGTCTGTTAGCAAAGAGTTTAAAAAGACAGAGAAGAATGGAAGGGGCTTTTCTAGTGGCTTCCACAAATGTTTTGATGTCTCAACAATTCAAGAATGTGGTTCAAATTTGAGATTTGTGGTTGTAATTGGTTGAAAGTTATATTAGCCTATAGTTGAAGATTATAAATTTCTAAAATGACAATTCATAGCACAGAACTATCTTATGATGCAGAAAATGTAGATTGAGGATTTTTTAAATATTTCATTAAAACTTAGATAATATTAAAATCTGAATTATTAACTATGCTTTGATACCAAATTTATTGATATACATCAGTCGTAATTTAAATTTTGAATGTAACTGAAAAAGGTTGCGATGCATGTACTTTCACTCTGCCATGGAGAAAGAATTAAGTGAAGTCTCATTGTGATTAGAAATTATTTTGATTTTTTGTGTTTTTATATTTCCTCTATTTTGCATGTCTAAAATTATTCTTTGCATAATATTTCTGGAACCCGTGTTTTGGGAATGCTTGAATTTGTTTTTTTACTTTCAGATAACAGAACTTACCACTTTCAAGCTGATGATGATGCTGAAATGGATGTGTAAGTTAGAAGTAATAAAGTTGTTTGTGATTGTGGTGTTCATATTTGCATATTTCTACTTCTCATTGTTATTGTTACAGTAGCTGATTTTACAGAATATTTGTAACACAAATAATTTTGACTAATTTAGAATTTTGTATTCATCATGCATTTGTTCACAGTGTATATCAGAAGGAACGTTTTCATTGTTCTTAGTTACTCAAAATTAATACATATCTTTACAGTTCTTGTGATTTTTGTAATGATAGAAAATAGACATTCAGAAATTGAGCAGTATTGTCAGTATATCTTTATAATCTACTTGTATATCTGTACTGAGATTCTCCTTTTTATAGTTTTGGAGTGGTCGATGTAATAAGCATGCTAATATAATTTTTCTGTTGATGCTTTAAATTTGCATTTAACAGTTTGTATGAGTGTTGCAAATGTGTATTTTGTAAACAGTATAACTAATTAGTACAATTATATGTATAACAAAAAAGCTAAAGCATAAACATTCACCAACATTATTACACAATTGTTTATTTATTTTTCTCTTAATCATGAAAATATGATTATTAGATAACATTGGGTGAACCAGTTTTGTGAACTAAGTATGTCTGAAAATTGGCAATATTTGAATATTTGTAAAGAGTAACAAATATTGTAAGTCCTGTTACTACTTGCTAACATGTAAGGCTTATTATGAAAAAGTTCTCAAACACTTTGATGTGATTTTACTGTTGATATGTAAAATGCCAGTGAATGTTAAAAAAAGTTTAGTATGAATACCAGTGGTATTAATTTTGAATAGCTGGATGTCTGTCTTGGTGAACTCTAAAGAAGGAGCATTAAGAAAAGCTTTTGATGATTCTGAACAAACTGGTGAGGATAAAGTTAGCCAGAGTTTGATTGAAGTGAAGCAATGCATAATAAATCAGATACAGGTATTACCTGGGAACGACCATTGCTGTGATTGTAGCTCAACAAAAGGCAAGTTGATTTGTAATGTTATTTATAACATGGCTTTTTTGTAAGTAATACGAGATTTCTTGTTTGTATAGTAAGTGAATTTGACAAATTGCTTTCTATGCTCATTGATAACTTGAAACCTTGTTTCTGAGAAATAATGAAGTTGTGATTTCATTTTATATTACAAATGAAACTATGATATCTCTTGTTAATTGTGAATTATAATCCTTTCCTGATGTGTTTCTTTAACCACTTGTAGACCAAAAAATAAGTACATTTTCCATATTATGTACATTGCTGTTAATGTGTTCAGTAACAGGTAGATGGTTGCATTTCAGCCTTGTATCTGAATAGTGTTTATTAACACAAGCACTGAGTTTGTTTCGCCAGTATATTATGTGTTACATTTACATCATTGTATACAATATATCAGATTTGTGGTTGCACACATAATATGTTGATTGAACTTGGGTATTTTCTCATCATGAAAATTTTTAACCATAGAAGGGTTGTGTATCTGTTTTCATGTTTCATATAGTAGATGTTTACAGGGAAAGCAGCTAGGAGTCTTAGAATCTTAACAGCAAGTTAGAACTGAATAGTAAGTATTTTATACTAGATGGAGGCCAAAAATACATCTTGGGTGGGTTTTTAATGTTTCTTAACATGTTATAGCTTGTGAGAAGAGATGGCAGAAGGTCTCATATTAAGCTCAAAAGTGGTGTTAAAGCTGGATGTATAGTTACCGATAAAGGTAAAACTGTTTCCCATGTTGTGGATATACTTGAATGTAATAGTTCAACTCTAGAACAAGACTTTGTATGTGTCATTTTTTTTCTGATATTTTGATGTGAATAACCTCTGCCTATGAGTTATCATTTGAGTTGTTTACATCTGATATTAAAACTAGCATCATCACAGAAAATGGATCATGTTTGTAGAGCTAGACTGTAAGGAAGATTGAATGTGCAGGGTGGTGCATGACAGCTAAGTAGGGAGAAGATATTGATTTGTATCTATGGGTTGAATATACAGTCCATTAAAATTTTATCTTCAGCATCTTTAATGATTTTTTACATTAAGAAAATTTATTCATTGAGGGAAAAAACCCACCCAAAAATAATTTTCAGCAATTTTGAAAGATTAAGAAAGCCGATTGTGGAATCTTTTATTCTATTTTGAAATATCTGGTATTAGACAATAAAATTAGTCAAACTAAAAAATGGCAATGAATAATAACTTGTGGTCCTTGCAACCTTTAATGTATTGATGAGAGAGGTTGCAAAGTAATGAGAGATTTCAGGAACACAAAAGGCATATTATTATGGTAATACAGATGAGCCAATTTCCCAACATTTTAGCAATGACAGACATGATCTCTCACATCTCAAACTAGTTTGTTGTTTTAAAGTACTTCTGTTGAATGTTTGTCATGTTTTTCTTTGGCATCATGTTCTTTATATCATCTTTCTCTTAAGACTTATTTTCTTTTGTTCTTGGGCTTGCGATTCATGTTCAAAGGACTCTTTACCATTCCACTGATGTTTCATTGTATCCAGCCCATTCTTTTCTACCCAAAATTTCAGTGGCTCAAGAAGGGGATAAGATTTTCTTTCCTATTCGTCTTCCCTCCACTTCTCATTTATATGACTGCTTGGATCCAGATTGTCTTTTATGCCCAGTTCAGGCTCTCCAGTGTTATGTTATATGCACGGAAGGGTTTTTGAGTTCTTGTCACTGTTTGTATCTCCATTGGGATCCTACAGTGACAATTGATGTATGCCCTATCACTTTGACAGGTTGGGTTTCTCAGTTGGTTGGTATTGTTTACTCTGGGTTTTCATTGGAGAATCGGAGACTTCTTTGGTTCTCATCTCATCAAGTTTGCCATATCTCTATATACCTAGAGGCTTGGTTGCATAGCCCACTGCAGGAGATTCTACGTGCTGGTATGTGGACTACACCTACTACATTTATATTGCATTATTTGAATGATTGGGCAGTTGCTTCCTTGAATGATTTTCTAATACCCCCATGGCTATTTTCCATGCCCTGACTAGATTAAAAGAGAGGCGAGTGACTTCATTTATTTTGTGTTTATTTCTGTTCTTTTACAGGGGACCCTCTTGTCATTTTTTTTATATCCCACTCAGTGGTGGGTGTTACCTGGTCAGGTATACTTCTTTCCAAATCTGCACTAGCTACCAATAGACAGATAAATTTTCCTGGTAACAACAAGCTCTGTTGAGATGGGATGTTCCATAATACCATGTTGTGGTCTTCCGGTGGTAAACTATTATATACACTACTGGACTGCCACTCATGGACTATCATGAGTAAAGCATAGGGGGGATTTTGTCCATCCCTACTGATCCCTGGATTGAATAAATTGGTGTCTGTTTGCTTTTAAAAAATAGGGAATGTAGTTTGTCTATTGCACTGTCTCTGGAGCATTGTTCCTGAGTACTCCCCAAGAGAGTTATCCCCCCATTTCTTCTAGTGGAGTGTGGAAGTCCTTACCACTCCCTGTTTCCAGTTGCTGGAATGATGGATAGAGGACTATTCCTCCTGAGTAATGCTTGAACTCATTATTCCACTCATGAAGAAGAGGGTGAAGCTGGGAGCCATTCTACTCATAACCCTGGATGGTTTATCCAGCTGTCTGGTAGGAGCAGGAACAGCCTATGTGGGAGTCTTCTCATAATTCCACTTCAAAGATGATATATTGCTATCTGGTTGAGTTGAGCATGTTCATTATCTTCATTTCGATGATCATGGAAGAAGGTCCTCGACTCCTCGTAATTCTGTATGCAGAATGTCAATTCTTGTGTCATTGGTTCGACATAGTTTGTTCCACATCCTCATAATTCTGGGGGCAGGAGATGTTGCCTAACTTCCAATATCGAAAATGTATTTCCAGTAATTCTTACATCCACTCATACTCTCCTGCCTTTCCTCTTCACTATGGCCAGTATTCAGGATTGCTATTTTGGACAGTCTCGAAAAAGTGAATTGGAAGTAATAACAGGGTGCTTGTATACACATCTGAGATAGGGGGCTCATTGTTGTAGGTGGACAGAATCACAAGTTTTAACTTGCTATTGCAATATAGTGGGGTATGAAGGCTGGAGCAAGCAAGGTAAGATTCATACTAATGCTTATATGGACAGGGAAAAGGAATTTTTTGTTGGGATAAAACTATATTTCAATATAATAAAATGTTAACTTTTACTATTTTAAAGAAATATTTAAATCTTGAATCTCAATCCTTAGGGTAGATATAAAAAAAAATCAATTGCAATGAATTTAATGACACAGCTTTCATTACACAAACTTTTGCAGAACTTTTTATTGTCCAAAATTATCAGATATTGTCTTTCCTTTATGTTTTGAAGCCATAATTGTTTTCCATCTGGGTCAAACAGGCCCTCCAATAATATTCACTCATACATTCAAAAATCTAGACAACTAGATCATCATCCAATAGAATATTTTGCTACGAAAATCTTTTTGGTGTACACAACAGGAAGCTGCATCTATTTTTGGGATATAGACAATAGTTTTACAACTGGAATAAATGTACTGTTGTAAGTACACAAATACACAATCACAAATTTACAAAAGAAATTTAAATTAGCCTAATTCATGATTGAATCTGTCACTTAGGCAAGCAGTTTCACTGAATTATCTATTAAATATTACATTTTGAAAAGGAAGTACTACAGTAAGAAAGTTTATTAACTTAAAATTTCAAGTGCTCCAAGTACACCATGTCTGTTGTCCAAATAATGAAAAAAAAAGTATTCAAATACATTTTATTTTGACTATTCAGGATGTTTGTTCAATAAAGTGGAGTTGTGTTAAGTGCAGCTGCACTTTGCCAGAATCTTAGTTGAAATTGAGCAAATATTGTAAATAGTAGTATTTGTAAGAAGATCCACAGAAAAGGACAGGAAGGCTTTTTGCAACTTATAGAAAACTGCAATTAATAAATTTGCATAAGGTAGGCTTCAAATGTGCCTAACATCCAGGTAAGTTGACCAACTTTTTTGGTTTTTTTCAGTGCATAATCAAAGAATATGACCAGCACAACCATTGGTGAAACGAATATTCTGAAATGCTTGAATTGAGATAGGCACTTCATAAACTATTGATTGGGACTGTGGAAGGTGGAATTCTGTTATTGACAACACCATGAAGCTGTTACTTTTGTCAAGGATAATTACTGCTCACTGTAAATAGGCTCAACCAACACAAAGAGAGTTATAAGGCATATTTTTGCCAAAAATCTTATCAAACTGGTTTTATTTTCACCATATTAGCCTAAAATTAGTGTTTAGAAAAGTGGTGAATAGGGTGGCTGAATCCTGAGCTACATAAATCTTCTTGATGTGTAATATTGGTATACATTGATACTACATCTAGTGTCACCACTATGCTATCACTGGAATAACTTTAATGTCTTTGAGTTTGATTAGAAACTCCATGGTGTCTTGAATGTAAGAGTTTAATCTTCTCAATAATGGTTGTAGCTATTGATTAATATATTCACTGAAGTTTTCCATACTGATCCCTCAGCTCAGTGTTATTGATCTTATTTGCAAATTCTCAACACTTCCTTGTCAGTAGATCAACTATAAATTACATAGTTAATTAATAATCCTCATTGTTAAATTTAATATGCTCTATTCCAGATCCAACATGGCTGTCAACAAACTATGGCATTTTAACTTGTATAGAATGCTCGGGAATCCACCGTGAACTGGGTGTCCATATATCTAGGATTCAGTCTCTTACTCTGGACAATATTGGCACATCACTGCTGTTGGTAAAAACAATCTTTTAGTTAGAAATTCATAGCTTTCTTCTCAGCTGTTTGAGGAAAAGATAGTTACTTAGGCTATATAAAAGTTCCATACCAATTAATTTTAACACCTAAAAAGAAAGAGAGTATGAAATCAGCACTTCTTTACCATTGATATTTTAATACAACTTTTTACACATCAAGTCCAGAAACAAAAATGGGTTGCACATAAAAACAAGTAAAACGTGCTTACAAGCTACAATGTGGAAAAGGTAAAATGTACCTTATTACGAAAGGAATCTGTACATATAGGACCCACACAGCAGTAAGAATCCACTGTCCATCCAGATTTAACCTTTATTCACATTATAGAAAAATGAAAACATATTAATACAAATGGATCACTAAGTAAAACTCGTCTCCAAAGGTTGTCACATACCTATATGAACAGTATAATAAAATCTGTAATGTCTAAATTGAAAGTTATTGCTGTTATTGATCATAATTTTTCTTTGCATTTGAGACTTGCAGATGGAAGTTATCTGAAAAACAGCGTATCCTATAACTATGTGGGTCCCATTTTTACTTGTATAGATACTCATCTTACCAAAACGTATTTTATTATTTTCACATTTTAGTTTGTGTCCTAGTTTTTTTCTTTTTTATTTGTGGAAATGTTTGTTTTTAACCTTGTTATCTGAAAAGTTGTGTTATTTGTATGTGTGTGTTTTACTAATGTCAGGTACTGTTTGAGTTTAAATGATTTTTGAAATTATAAAACTGAATTTATAAATATGCACTAACATGTAAGTTATTATTTTTTAAATACCATGTCATAGTTGCAAATGTTTAGAAGAGATAACTTTGAAAACATAAACGTAATGGCTATGATTGTATATTGTGTAAGGTAGTCCACAGCAAGGCTTATATTTGTTTAAAAAATTGGTGGAGTTATGTCTTCAAATTCAAAAAGGGAAAAGTAGCTAAACTGTTCAAATAATATCTTATGTTTTTTTGAGATATTACTGGTACACTGAAGACATATTTCTGTTCTTTTCATGACCATATAACATGAATAAGGAGAAATTTAAATCACTTCTTGAAATGCAAGTGTTAGCTGTAATGTTTATTGGGATGTTGAACGTCACCATTATTTGTTATCATACTGTAATCTCACTCTATATTACTTGGAAGTTTAATGTGCATCATAGTAATTACCAGTGAATATGCCTGTAAATTTTTATAAATTTATACTTTTTATGAAATTATTAGTTAATATTATCTTCAGAAGTAATAACACAATTACCCATTGTTGGTTTTATCATTAGTTTGATATTATTTTATCATTTACTGTAAGTATAGTGCTTCTCTATCTCTAAAAGTTAATATTCCTTCATACTTTTGCTTTTAATTTTTTGTTTGTTTTGGTAACTGTTATTTCACAGCTGGCAAGAGAAATGGGTAACAACAGATTTAATGAAGTGATGGAAGCAACATTAAGTTCCTCATCAAAACCTTCGAAGGACAGTTCCATGTAAGAATTTTCATTTTTGGGTTGAAAGTATAGTCCAAAGCAGTTTAATAAATTGTGAAAAAAATTACAGAATATAAATTTGCATTTTTCAGGCATTAGAAGAGCCTAGGAAATGCAAATATTGGGAAAAAGTTTAGAAATTATGTAAGAGGAACGTAACAAAAAATATTTTTTTCAGTGATAGAAAAAAGTCATAAACATATTGATTTTTTGTAGCTGCATTTAGAAACTTTTAGACATGCATCGATTTGCGTATAACTGCACTGCACAATTAACAGTGTCGACCAGATATGGGAATACCTTCTGTACAGAAGCAATCGCGGACTTCAAGTCTAAACTGATTATCAGATGCAAGATTTTGCTCAGGGCTTCATGACACAAGCAAATGGTAATGATCCTGTTTGTTTGAATAGGCCTTTCTGTATTGTGTGAATAATGAACCATAAATCAGGGTACCAGTTTACTTCCATCCATTATGATAAATGTAATTAATATGGTTTGTGAATTGATTCTTAAAAAGGTTTTATGATATTATTTTATTTCTATTGATATTGCTTTATTTTTATTGATATTGTTTATGAATGCACTTATTACATTATGAGGAAGTGCTATTTTAGTGGTAAGTGACTGACTCCAGTATAAAAAAATGCAGACAAGGGAGACTTACATTTTTGAGTAGAAATACAGAGTGAAAAAACAATGGCAAGATGTGTTCTTTGTAACAATACTTTAAGGCTGGGTAATATGGGTGAAGAGACTCCTTTAAGACACATAGCTGAAACAGAACACACTTTGAAAATTTTGACTAAAAAAATAGCCTTCCCTAAACTAACTGATCACTGAATTTTTTGGGAGTAGAATTTACATTTAGTCATACATCCTTGTAATGTTATCAAAGACACATGCAAAGCCTATACATATAACACCGCATAACAATCTAATGGCTTTGAATATTTCCAACAGTCATTTTTTGTTGAAATCATGTGAACGAATTGTTTCCCAAAATGTTTTTTAATACTTAGACTACATTAAACATTACATTTAATAAAAAAATATACGTGCATATCTAATCACACATTTAACCAAACTCTCCGGACATCCTGAAATAATATACCAAGCAATAAGTATGGTTACATTCTTCTTTATGATGAATGCATTATCATGAGCTTGCAGGTAAAACAGTTAAATTTAGATATAAGAATTTGGGAGATAGTAATGTTGTCACACGTTATATGGGATCAGAGTTTATGGGCAATGCCACTGCCTCTAACTTACATTTTCATAATGGAAATATGGGATGTCAGAGCTTATTGCAGCTGTACATGGATAGTTCAAATCTCAACCTAGTGTTTTTTGACAAATTGCTTCAAGACATAAAAGCAGAATATGTCATCACCTAATTAACTCTTTCCTTACATGTATCCTTTTCTGTGCATGCCACCAGATTTTACTAAGTTCAATTCAAAATTTAATTAAAGTACTTTATTATCATGATATATATGAATAAACTTGGGATCCAAATGTAGCTAATGATCCAAATTTTAATATTTTATAAGGCAATATTAAAATAAAAAATTCAAATCTTGTCTAGTATGAGAATTGGGACATTTGCTCTCTCGGTATCCCCTTTTCTCTAATTTATTAACCATCCTTCCAAGAAGTATGAAATTTAATGTATGTTACTCATTATAATATTGTCATCACTCAGGCAGAACTCAGGCTTCCATTATATTTCGTTATAGAGCCATAGACTAAAAAATCGGAACCCTCTTGCCATGCCCACCTGTCACATCCTCTCTTTCACAAATTGTCAATGGTTCTCTCTGACGTTTAATACTATATTATTTATAACCAGTAGAAAGCCAAAGCTTTAATCTATCAAATGACTTATTATACTATATTGTTTCATGCACAGAGAATTTGTTTATTTCACTTCCAGTTCAAACTTTATTTGCACAGGAAACACATTAACTAAAATCTCAATGGCTCTTGTCACATAGTTAGAAAGCCAGAAAAATTTTGTTAGTTATACGACATTGTCTGCTTTTTGCATGTTATCATTCCTAGTTCTTTGGTGCATTATTTAATTAAATATAAAATTATTTAGTGCAGTATTACCATTATTATAAAAAAGTAGGATTGAGTTTCATCAACAGTCGACAGCAAAAAAAGAAGACCTAAGAAAGAACTGTATTTCTTGTTTCTCATGTGTATTCTCTATTTATTATTATAAAAGTAACTAAAGTGTAAAAATTAGAAACATTTTAGGCTAGATTAGGAAAAATATAGAATAATAATAATAAAAATTTCAACAAGGTATGCTCTTGAGCAACTCATGAGTATCCCATGTGTTAAATAATTCGATAGGTTAATGTGAGCTACATGTTCACCAAGTGATTTACAACTTGTGTGATAGGAATATTAGGTAAACACAGTTCAAAGGGCCAAAGAACAATAACATTTAAGTAGAAACATGTGTATATTGTTACAAGTTTAAAGTTATTTAGGATAAACACATTTAGTTTCATGTTACAATTTGAAGTCATTCTAGAAAGAAAAAAGTGTAATTTAGATTATTTTCATAGTTTTTATGGTGGTTATGAGGTCAGTCAAATTGACCAACCTCGTATTAAGTTAGGGTAGAGAAAATAACAGATAAAATATAAAGTTTTCTTGAAAACAAATATTTGAAATATATGTAGGAGGTTTTAGATATGCAAATAAAGCTTGACAATTTTCAGATGAAGAAAAGTATTTTTAATCTTAACGTGAAAATCACTTTGCACTTGGAACAGTCAACTATATATATTAACAGAGAAAGTTTTAGTGAAAATACTTCATTAAAAATTCTGAAATTTTTATTTACAAAAAACTCAATGCTACTGAAATCTTGCAAGATGTACAAAAACATATTAGAAATTATAGTATGGAAAGTATAATGATCAATTTGGGGTTCTGAACTTGGACGATTCAGCCAAGCCCATAGCAAGAATGTTAAATACTGGCTCATATGGTCTACACACAGTATACAGTGCATATGGTCAACAATGTCTCAATGAGTTATTAATATCCTTGTGCTGCTTAGTTGAGGACATTTCTGCCCACAGGAAAATATTTTGAAATTATGTCAAAGATATATACATTTCCTCTCAGGCTTAACAAGGAAAGCCATAGAGATACGGAATGGTATCAAAATGTAGGTTACTTGTATAGAAGGAAAAAAAGTTGTGCAGATCCTACTATTTTGTGTGAAGCTACATTGCTTTTTCTTTATGGCAGAATAGGTGAAGCCATTCTCAACAGCATACCTGGTATATCAATCCATGATATCTTTCCCATCACAAGCTTTGGAAAAAATGAATCTCTAAGATTATGGCCAACTTTATCAAAATAACATTCATACAAAAAAATCATATTTTTAGTGAAGTATTTTAAATGAAATATAGATTTATCCATGAATATCTCGAGTATTTGTTTTTAATAGTCCATGTGCAAAGTAATTTTCATGTTAAAATTAAAAATACCTTTTCCTCTTCTCAAAAATCTCAAATTTCCTTTGTGTAATCCCTAAAACCTCCTAAATGCATTTCAAACGTTTTTTTTTCACTAAATCCTTATAGTTTACCTGTTATTTTCTCTACCCTGTCTCAAAACGGAATTGGTCAATTCTACCAACTTTGTAACCACCAATATAAAATTGAAATAAATCTAAATTACCCCTTTTTTCTTGCCAGAATGACTTCAAATTGTAACATGAAACTACAATCATTTATCCTAAGTAGCTCTAAGTTTGTAACAGTATACATCTATTAAAATTTTATTGTTTAATTTGCCTTTGATTTACCATGTATTACTACTATCCGTGCTATTATAAGTAGTATATCAAGTTGGGAACATGCAGCTCACGTTACGGTAACAAATTGTATTACCCACAGGCTACTTCGAGCTGCTTGTTTGTGTGCTTTGTGAAACATTTTATTGTAATATTATTATTATTTATTTCACCTAATCTAATTTTAACTAACCTAAAAGGATCCCTATTTTTACATTTTAGTTATTTTTATAATTATACATAAAGAATAAAAATGAAAAACAAGAAATAAAATACTTAACCAATCTTTTTTTCTTGCTGTCAATTGTTGAAGAGAGCTAACCCTATTTTTTTCATACTAATGGTAGTAATGCACTTAATATTTTTTATTTAATTAAATAATGCACCAAAGAATATAGACTAATAACATGCAAAAAGTAGACGAAATTCCCTTACCTCTCAAAAGTTTTCTGACTTTCTAGCTATGTGACAAGAGTTATTACAAATTCATCCAAGCCAGTCGTTAACCTTCTCATGGGAGTGATGTTGGTACTCTGAGTGAAATTGGCATTTAACCGTTCAGAACGTAACGTTATATTATACAAACCTTGACTTTCTATTGGTTATAGGTAATATATATAATTAAACATGAGAGAGAACTATTAACAAATTCTGAAAGAGAGGATGTTACAGGTAGGTGTAGCAGAAGGTAACTGATTTTCTAATCGATAGCTCTGTAACAAAACAAAATTGAAGGCTATAAAAATTAAGGTTTGTCTGAGTGATGATAATTTTATAGAGAGTAATTTATGTTTAACTTCATACTTTTTCAAGAGATGGTGGATAAAATAGGGAAGATGACATGATAAAGAAAATGTGTCATGTGGGTTACACTAGGGGAAATTGAGGATTTTTTAAAATATTGCCTTGTAGAATTAAGAACTTAAAACTCGTATATTTTTAAAACTAAAGACTATTAGCTAAGATTTTATGCTATTCTAATTGATACAACTTGAACAAAAAGAAGTTTAATAAAATTTGAATGTAAGACACTAAAACCTGTGTCATGCACAGTAAAGGATACCCATGGCAAAATGGCTAAAAAAATGTTACACTTAATTAAAAGATCTGATACTTTGTGTACAAATTCCTTGTATTGTTTACCTATAATCTGCAAAATTACATGAAGATACATATACATTTTAAAAAGCTAGGTAGTATAACTGCTTTATAGTTACTTTTGGGAATATGGGCTGGGTAAAATCCACCCACCCATATTAGAAGGACTATATTAAACTGGATTAATATCATGAATGGGGTACCTCAGGGTTCAGTGTTAGGAATTTTGCTCTCTTGATTAACATGAATAACACAGATGAAGAAATAGTCAATAGGTTATTTGAATTTGCTTGTGACATTAAAGTTTTGGGTGTTTCCGGCTGTGAGAAGGATTGGATTATTTAGTGAGTTGGGCAAATAAATGGCAGATGACTTTTAATTATAATAAATATAGGTAATGCATGTGAGATATCCCAATTAGAATTATGAGTATAATTTTAATGGAAATAGCCTTGACAGTGTTATGGGAGAAAGAGACCTTGATGCTCTGGTTCATCAGTTTCTTAAGTCATCCAAGCAATTTGTTGTTGTGAGTGGCAGAGCAAATAGGATATTAGGTTGTATCTAGAAAAATAATGAATACAAGTAAAAATGGTAATAAAGCCATTGGTAAGGCCACATGTGGAGTATTGTGTTCATTCTTGGGTTCCTTACCTTAGAAAGAGCATTGAAATGTTGAAAAGGGTTCAAGGAAGGGTATTAGAATGTTATTTATAATGGAAAGCTTGTCATATAAAATTTAGTTAAGATCTGTGAACTTGTTTTCTCTTGAAAAAAAGAAGCGTTAGAGGGGATCTGATTCATGTGTTTAGGTTTTTAAAGGAAATTGATAGTGTTGTTGCATCATCTTTTTACATATTTAGTGGTGAGAATGGTAAGACTGGAGGACACAAATATAAATTTTGGCAGGGTGGGAGTCATTTTTGCCTCAGACAGCTTTATTTTTCTAACAGGGTGGTTGGCCTTTGGAACTGATGCCCTTCAGATGTGATCAAAAAGATTGATAAGTACTTGAATGATAAGGGCTGGCTTTATGTTTTTATTGATAGGATGACCTAGATGTACCAAAAGGTCCCTTGTTGTTTGTTTATGTTATGTTACTTTTGTAAAATAGTACAATTGGTATTAATTTTATCACATGATCAAGTAAGTGTTAAAAGAGACTTTTTGTCAATAAAAGAAGTGATAATTGAAAATATGTAAAAGTGTACACACACACACTGATTGAATTAAGAGCTGTTGCTAACTACACCAGATCTGCTGTTGTTGGAATCCTCAACATAACCATCACTCCACAGTTAATACCAACAAGCAACACACATTTGAAACACAGGGTACATCTTGAGCAACAAATCACAGTGGAGAAAGGAGTTAATCATGGTGGAAGAATGACAGCAGTGATGTACAGAAATTTCAAGCTATGAAGGAAAAGCAGCCCTTAAACAAAACTGCAAATGATTAGAGCAGCTGGTTAAAATTTAAGACATGGTAAATTTCAACCACATCAGGTGAGAAGGAAAAAAAAGCTGAGCTTGAGAGATATGCAAGCACCTTGAGGATAAGCTCTCTCAGCCTTATAGACAAGCTGCACAAGAAATAAAGTTAAGTATGAGAAATTGAGCAAGCAGCTAGAGGATAAGCTTGCTCAGACTTATAGGTAAATTGCACAGAAATAAAGTTTAGCTCAGGGAAGTGAGCAAGCAACTGGAGGATAAGCTTTCTCAAACTTATTTATTGCATAAATAACCAAACTTCTGTATACAGTGTAAAGTGACAAATCCTTTGTAAATAACACTGGTCGACAAATTCGAACTTTTTTGTGTTATCAAAGATGTAAACACATGTTTCTAGACCAGTTTTGCATGCTGATTCCAAATCTGTTTTCGATTTTTCTTCTAGCCCATATAGTTATCAAAATATGACTTGTGTTAATTTCAGTAATTTGGGTAATAATCACACATTAGGCTAGTTAATGTTACAATTTTATTAATTTTTCAGTATAATTCCCATAAATTTTATACACACCATACACTTGGTTAAATTTAAACAGTACAAACTTATGAAAAAAGAAACGTACAACAACTTAAATTACAATTAAGGCAATAACCTTTCAAATTTGATCATTTTTGTCACAAAAACTTGACATGCTAGAGGAAAACCAAAAACAGATTTGGAATCAGTGTACCAAGAGCTATCTAATCCACCTATAATTATATTTGAAGAAAATAACTTGGCCATTGTAATGTAAATAACATATCCTTTTCCAAAAACAAATTATCTATTAATTGCATAATTTTTAATGATTCACACATGCCATTTAATGTTATGTTATTTTTAATTAGTCAGTAAGATGTGGGATACATGAACATGATAAGAATGACATAAAATATATGTTTATGATGAGAATCATGTGACACAAGAGTGTGATTGATTTGACTAGAAACATGAAGGCGCAATGAATATGACCTAGGACATATGAGAATGATGTGTATGATTTGGGACTTGTGGATATAGTGTATGACTTTTGACATATGCTCATAATGAAAATTACTTTGGAGATACAAGCATAATGAGAACGACCTAGGACACATGAGTGTTATAACTGTAATGTTGTATACATCAAGAATGTTGTGTAGATGCTGAAATTAACCAAAACCAATTAATGATGTTATAAAAAGAATAGCTTGACTCAAAAATTTCATAATATGGTGATTTGGAGTATTTCCAGTCTATTTGTTACCTTTTCTTTAAACCAAATATTTACTGCAGTATCTTTCAGGAAAGTTGGTTTATTACCTGATTCACTGAGAATTTGTTTATAGGGAGGAAAGATGCAGTTTTATTAAAGCAAAGTATGTCGAGCGTAAGTTTGCACTTCATACATGCAGAGATGAAAATGACCTGAAAAATGACCTTGAGCATGCAGTCTCATCAAAAAATTTGGTTCAGCTGTTAGAAGCCTTTGCTGAAGGTGCTGATCTCACTTGGACTTTACCCAGTAGTGTAAGTGTACTTTTTATTAAATGTACAATAAAAACAACTTTAAAAACCAGCTGTACAATCTTGAATGTTAATGGCACCTAGTTGATCAAGAAGGCCATTATTGTGCAACTTTTCTTATGTCTTCTTTTGTTTAATTTCTCCTTTGATATCCAAAACTTGTTTCAAGAATAATGTGTTTTGTCAGTTTGTTTCACCACTTATTCATTATTCAAATATAGTTTTAGCTGTATTCAATGTTGGGCAACAATAATTTTGATACGATAACTTACCTCTTCTCACCAAACAGCTTTCCTCAATTTTAACTGTTCTCTATATGCATAGAATATATGCCTGTCACTAGCTTTTATACTCCCACTAATGTCCACGTGTTTTCTACATGGTATAGCTATGTTGTGGCATGGAAATAAGCATGCGACAATCCTTGACCAGTAGGAGTGTGACACATCTTCCTAGCACATCTGACTTCCTCTATGCAGTAGAACCCATTCTTCACTTTTTGATTTGGCATGACAGTCACCAGTCGTCTCACTCGCCACTTTTTTAATTTGGTGTATAACGTTCTTGAACTTTGAAAATTTTGAGACTTCAAAAATTTCTTCCTTAAGTTTTTTTGTATTTTGAAATTTTTTTTGCTTTGATTTGAAAAAGAACTCAGAATTTGTTTTTTCGTGTACTTCAAGTAAATTTCATTTTGAATAATTTCTGAGAATAACTTATGAATTCACAGTTCCAAGTCTCTACTACTACAGCTTCAGACACTATTAGTGACCAACAACCTAACACAATCGCTTCAGGTCCAATATTATTAGCTGAGGATATTTTGGCCCTTGTGCGATGTGAGATATCTTTCTTCATGTGGGCCAAGGGGTCTCCTGATCACCAACCACTTCTCCCCTTCTCAGGGGAGCTGGAAAAGAATGACAAGGATTTGGACAGCCTTTTTCTTCCCCCTTCCTTTGTTGTGCAGTTTTGTTCTCAGACCGTGGATGCACCACAACCTTCTCTGTTATTGGAGTTAGTTTCACAGGTATGTTCTCTTTTGTCTTTGTCACCCGTGTCTTATGATTCATCCCCTTCCTTTTTGACTGAAACACCTGCTACCAAATATTTTGTCCTTCTTTCTTCACCCACACATGGCAGAGGATCATGCTTTGGCTTACCATTGTTCTGCCTATCTTTTTCTGGATACTCAACATTTGGATTCATTTCTATGCATTTTTCACAGGCACAGTTTTCCTATCTTTGCCTGATATTGACGTCTCTTGTTTGTTACCTTTCTTCCATACACCTTTTGTCTGAGGATATCCGTCATTCCCCTGAGGGGTTTTAGTGGATGCTCATTCCCTCCTCTTCTTTAAGTTGGCTCACTTGTCCTCTTTGATCCTTTTCCACCACAGTTAGCTCCTTTGTTGTTGGAACCTCTTAGGTAGGGATGCTCTCTTAACTCAGGTGTGTCTCTCCCCAACCTCTTTGTGTGACTTATGTATGGCCCCCTTTTAATGACAAACGATTTTTGGGGTCTTCCTGACTGTTTGGAGTCAAGAGTGGAATCTGCCTATTTGCATACTTCCCTCTCCTATCTAGCCTCTCATTAATCACTGTCTTCCCCTGCTCCTATTCCTGTTCACCACCTTCTTTCATCTCCCTTCCTCATGGGTCATTCCTTCATGGCATACTATTATTCACCTCTGACCTGCACACTGCCAATGGTATAGGTGACTGTCCTGTTGGACTGGGTCAAGTAGGGGCCAGATTGCTGCTTTTTGCGTGCATTTAGGAGTCATTTATCACTGACCCTTGGGTTACTTGAATCTTATCAAAAGGACTCTCCCTTTTTTTTTCCTTTCATCACCTCCCATTCTCACTTTCCTTTTCCTTTCCTCCCTCCTCTGGGATCCTCTGTCCTGCCAACACCTTTCTGAAGCAGTTCAGGATCTTCTACTGAAGGGTGCTATAAGACTGGTAGTTCCTATTCTTTCCATTTTTATTCCCCTCTTCATGTGGTCTCCAAGAAGACCAGAAATTGGCTTCTTATTATCGATCTCTCCCTTCTGTACCACTATTTGGAAGATCCTCAGTTCACCATAGAGTCTCTGATGTCTCTTTCATGGACTTTTATTCCAGGTGTTTGGATTACAAATTTTGACGTGTCAGATGCTTACCTCCATATTCACATTTCCCCAGCATCCCATTGTTATCTTCACTTCATAAACAGGGATTTTACATATCAGTTTTGGGCTCTTTCTTTCACGTTGGCTTCGGCTCCATATGTTTTTTGTCGGGTTGTCAAAGCCTTTGCCCAGTTTCTTCATTCACAAAGGCTTAATTTTCATCATTACATGGACAGCTCTTTACTTCTAGCTCCTTTGCTTTCTGCCTCTTCTCCCAACATGTAGTTTCTTCTCAAGGAAGCTGCACTGGTGGATTGGCTGATCAAGGTGGAGAAATCCATTCTCACATTGAGTCTATACCTTGTTTATCATGGGGTATTCTTCAACTCCCATCTCTGTTGGACCCAGCTTTCTTCACTCTGACTGTGTTCTATGGAGCTTATGATTCACAACTGGAAACCTCACCTTTTATTCTTGTGCAAGAGGTTCTTTCTCTTTTAGTGACTTGGGCTTCCTTGGAGTCTCTTATTCTCCTTGGCCATTACGCACATGTGATCCCTTCAGTGGGTTCTTCAGGATCATTAGAACCTCATTGGATATCCCCTGGCTTACCCTGTATTCCATCCTCTTTCATTCCAGTCTAGTTTTGCTTGGTGGATGGACAGGAACAACACAACAGCTAGTGTACTTTTTTCTCCTGCAGGAGCAGAGTTGCATTTTTTTCCGGATGCTTCTCTGTCATGCTGGTGGTCTTCATTTGAGTCAAGTTTCCATATCAATATTCTGGAACTCCTGGCTGTTTGTCAGGCAATAGGTCATTTCTTGTTGGCTTTGAGGAGTGAAACAGTGCTGATCCACTCTGACAACTTGACTTTTGTCTCTTACTTCAATGGGCACTCAGTCACAATGTCTTCACACATTGGACATACTGTTCTAGGCCCATGGCCATCACATTTGTTTGCTGGCCTGTTACATCCCAGGTGCTCTCAATCTTGTCAAGGATTGATTTTCTCATCCTGACAAGGTTCTCGCAAAAGATTGGTCCCTCGACCCTCAGGTTTTTAGGTGGCTCCGCTCTCAGTTGATACTCTATGGCTCAATGCATTTGCCACCCATCTGGATACAAAACTCCCTCTTTGTTGGTCTCCTGCTCCTCATCCTTTGGATTTGGTGATAGATGCCCTTAGTTAGGATTGGACAGACCTATACATTTATACCTATCCCTCCATCCATCTTCTTCCCAGGGTCCCTTCCATTATCCAAACCACTCTGTGACAAGTCCTTCTAGTGGCTCCATTCTGACAAGCTCAACCTTGTTCTCTCTACTTCTTCCTTTTCAGTTGTCACCACTGTTACCTCTTCCACTCTCCCCTTTCCTTCTCCATCAACTTTATTTGGTAGTACTTCATCCATCTGTTTCCACCCTCTGGCTTCATGTGTGGGTTTTGTCAGGTATCTTGCATTAAGGTTCCAGACTTTCCACTTGTGAAGCATCCCTTTTTCCTACTTCATCCACTCCTCTTCCTTGTCCTTGTACAAACGTAAGAGGCATATTTTTTGCTGTTGGTCTTTTTGTTGGGGACTTATTCCTTCCTCTCCTCCTTTCCCTCACATTTCTGAATTTTTTACCTAGCTCTTCAGTAATGGTGTGTCTGTTTGGACCATTTCTTGTTATAAAGCCACATTATCATCTACCTTTCGTTTTTCTTTATTCCGCCATGATTTTACCTTTCCTGTTATTTCCATCTTGTTTCATTCTATTTGTCTCCTTCATCCTCCTTGACCTTCATCCTTGCCAGATTTGGATCTTAATGTTATCTTTCATACATTTTCTCTACCTCCATTTGAACCTTTAGCTTCCTGTTCCACATATCATTTATCCTTGAAAACCTTATTCCTCCTCTTGTTGGCTTGTGGCCGTGGAAGGTCAAATGTGTTCGTCATCAATGTCTTTTGCATCTTTTACCACCAAAGCTATGTTCACCTTTATTCTGATCGTACCTTCATACCAAAACCCTCCATTGTCCATGAGGGTAATGTTGCCTTCACTTCTATTTCTCTTCCTTCCATTTCACATTTATATATTCCTTTTCTGATCCAGATCATCTCCTGTGTTCAGCCAAGGCTCTGCAATGTTATGTGGCTTGCACAGTTTCTTTCCATGGTTCCTGTTGCTATTTGTTTATGCACTGTTTCTCATGACCTTTCTCCTATTACTCTGACTGGTTGGGTTTGGCTACTCATCCATTCCTCCTTGTCTCCTGACTCCTGTTGCCTTTTCTGTGTATCCTCTCGTCAAATTCTTCACCTCACAATGTCTTTGACTACTTATCTTCATCATCCTTTGGAGGAGATTATCCAGGCCAACATGTGGACCACACCTCATACTTTCGGATCACATTATCTGCATCGTCTGGTGGTTTCCTTCTCAGCCAGATATTATCTACCTCCTGTCACCATTTGTCACTCAATGGTTCATCTTTGTGTAGGTAAGTGTCAATTTTCTTCTTTATTTTTTAATACAAGGGCCTCCTTGCACATCTTTTTTGGATCCCACTCTGTGGTGTCTGTCCAGGTACACTAATTCTTAAATCTGCAGTGTGTGACTCTGTCACTAACTCTTACTGTTGAGATGGGTTGTTCCACAAGACTGCTTGTAGGTTCTCCCTTGCAGTGTTTTGCTTAATAAATATGTTCATTCCAGATCATACACTCATGGACTAACATGAGTAAAGCAGAAGTGGAATGCTGCCTTTCCTTGTTATTCTCTTGATTGTACAAATTAGGTTCGGTCTGATTATCAAAATAAGGTTTGTGGTCACCCATTGCACTTTCTGCTGTGATGTGTTCCTCCAGACTTTCCAATGTGTTTTTCCCTCACTCTTCTTCTAGTAGAGTACAGGAGTTCTTCCCACTTACCAGCTCCTACTTGCTGGGGTGGTGTACCATGGAAGTTCCTCTCGAGTGTGTTCAATTCCACTCAGTTGAGAAGAGAGTGATGGTGTTCTGCTGGTGTAGGTGGTGTGAATATTCTTCTACCACAGATCTAATGTAAGATTCTAGATGCTGTATGGTGTGGATGGGATTTTTCTGTCACATTTCTATATGCAGTTCACCCCTCTGACTGGATGTTGGTTCCCAGGTGACTGGAGTTGGTTGTAGCTGGGAGCCTCCTTCTACCATGTACTGAATGATATATTCCCAATACTGAATGGCTTGGGACTGGAGTTGACCCTCCACATTGCATTTCCACCTTTCTACCGTCGTTCGGATGTATTGGTGTTGGTTATGCACACTTGATGATTTGGTTTCTCAGAATGGAAGTACTTCCCTTCTGGTTCCCGGGTCTGAAGTGAATGGTAGAGAACCCTCCTCCTACCATAGGCTGATTGATCCAATCTCTGTGCTGCTGGCTTTGGACTGGAGTTGACCTCCCACTTTTACAGTCTGATGTGCCCTAGCACCAATGGCATCTTTTTTTCCAGATGTGCCTTATTTCTACCTATTTTACTGCACATCATTCATCTCGGGTGAAGAGTATACCTGTTTCAGATGTTGTGTGGTATCTCATGAGTGTGCTTCCTCTCCATTGAGATGCCACACTCCTTGAGTCCTCTTCATATGCTTTCAGAGGGGGACTCCTCTAGGTTACTTCTATACTGATACTTACACTGGATCAAGGTGGTATTCTAGCTGTTTTGTTAGAAGAGATAAGTTATTGTATTGGGATTTAATATATTCCTAAACTGAAAATATGTTTCTGATAAATACCTTCTCTCACACTTTCCTCCCATCCCCCCCATTTCCGGTGTGCTTTTTCATGTCTAATCTTGAAGTGAAGATGGGTTCTACTGCATAAGAGGGAGTCAGCTGTGCTAGGAAGGTGTGTCACACTCCTATTGGTGGAGCGTTGTCGCATCCTTATTTGCATGCAACAATGCAGCTATACCAAGTGGGAAAACACATGGAGATTAGTGGGAGTATAAAGGCTAGTGGTGGGGAAAAATTTTTTTCATATAGAGGCCAGTACATATTGAGGAAAGCTGTTTAAAAGTTTTTGGAAACATCTATACAAAAACATGCTTTTTTTTTCACAGCCATTGTGAAATAATAGTTTCTACAGGTTCTGATGCAACTCAGAAGTTTTTAAGTTTTATATTACAGAATTGTATAACTTATCCTGTATTAAAATGCTATATTTATATGTGCAAAGTTCCTTTTATTTAAACTTCTTAGACTCAGAAACTTAGGCCTTATTTGAGGAACTTGTTACCAAATTATATACCTGTATCATAATGAAATATTGAAAAAAGATGTATTACTATTAAATTATAAAGTACACACTTTGTTATAATTTTTTCAAGCAATACTATATTTATGATATTTGAAATATTATTTTTATAAAATGTTTGAGTAGCAATGCGGAGAGACTGCACTTCATCTTGCTGTTGACCAGGAACAAAATTCATCACTACATATTGTTGACTTTCTTATACAAAATAGGTAAGTGTTGATCACATGTACCCCTTGTTAAGGAAATTTTTAACCACTGTGGAATAAGAATTGCTATCCTTTGACTTGTTTTATTTAGAAATTAGCCAATCAATTAAAAATGAACTTTGTTGTGATATTTGTTTACTGTAAAACTTGCTGTGGCAACAGTTTACTTAAAAATACTTGTATTGTAAATTAAGAGAATTGAACCAGAGTTATAAATCTGTAGTACATATGGACATTGTTAAACTTCAGTATTATATAGTTAGCTAAGATGACACTTGTGTAATGAATATTGTTAAGTGTCTTGTTCTGCAAAATGAGCAGAAACAATGTGGATCAAAGGTAATAAAGAATAAGATAATATGTCTAAATGAAAACTATGTTTAGTTTTATTTTGTGCAACATTTCTGGCAGATCTCCTTCATCAGACAGTAAATACTGTGTTGCCTAGAAACTAGACTAAGAACTCTGTATTTACTTCCTGATAAAGGGCATCTACCCAAAACACAAAATATAACTATCTACAGTTTGTAGTTAAATGTTTCAATTTATTCTTTATTACCTTCTAACAAATATTGTTACCTTAATTTAAGAATGAAAGACATGTTACGAAATGTTTGAACTTTTTAAAATGTACACTGCTATGGATGAAAATGCATTACATGTGTATATTAATAGAATTCTTTTGAAATAATTTTTTGAAACTGTGTGTAAATTGATAAAGAAATTTCAGGAGTAAGTCTATTACATACAGATGCTGTTACAAAAGTTTTGTTGTACTGTTTACTTAAAAAATACATGCACTTAACATTTGTGCTCATTTTGAATTATTACTGTAACCTTTTACATAACCTTTTATGGAATACAGGTGTTAGTAGCAAACGTAGAATGTCATAATCCATGTGTGTTTATTACACCACTTTGGAAATGCTGATAGTGAGAGTTCTAATTTGTTTTCAGTAAAAATCTGGACAAACAAACAAGCCAAGGAAATACAGCTCTACATATTTGTGCCCTCCACAACAAAACTGAATGCATGAAACTATTGTTACGAAGTAGCGCAAATCCTCATTTGAAGAATGTTGATGGCAAGTCTCCTCTGGACCTTGCTAAGGAGATGAATTTCTCTGCATGTATTGAACTGGTAAGTTGAGATCTATTTATATAACCTCTGCCCAATTACACACTGGAAGGAATTTTCCTACGAGTAGAAAAGTTTACAGTTCATTGCTGATATACATTTTAAATAAAAGTATAACAAGAATATATTGACCTAAAAAATTAAGATTAATATGACTCAAATATCACTTGAAAAAGCCTCTTTGTATTAAAATCACACAAATATTCATAGAAGAATAGTGTTAAATCTTTGTATCTCAAACATCACATAAATATACTCTTAAGACTAACATAATTCAAATATTTTTTTTAAAAATGCTCTTGAGATTAATTGAACTCAACTATCACTGAAGATTATTCACTCTAATATAATTCTATAAAAGTAGAGATTCAGCAACATGTGATGAATATTCTTCAGACTAATAACTTAAGGTTGCGGCAATCAACTATATCAATCACTGGTATGATATAGCTTGTAAAACTGCCAAAGTCTAATTACTAATTAATTGCTTTTTTATTACTAGATAAAATTTAATTTATTTCCATTGTTTCAGCTTCTAGTATGGTCCCATCATCAGAAAAGTCATTAAAAGGCCAGTATTTTGTGACAAGAGCCAGGATTAGATCATGGTCTTCTTGTCATAAAGACAGTTAGTTGTGTTATCTACTTGTTCAAACTTTTACTCCAGTGGGACTTGAATCAACTGTTTGAATGATTTCAAAGGAGGTATTCATATTATGCTGATTTATATGCTAGCTTGACTGAATACCTTAACAGTTTTTAGTTGGATGTTGAAGGTTTATTTTTTCTCATGTGTGGTTCATATCCAGTTATTTTACCAATATGCCATTTTATTGTATGATCTTCATTGATATGATTGCCTGATGTTGCAGTCTTATGTTCCTGAATTCTGACTTTATGCTGCTTGCATATTCTATGTACTTTTTCAAAGATAATTGTGACATCAAGCAATATTGCTGTTTTTAGGTTATTTTCTTTCTGCTTAGTCTTGGTATTAATTTTCTCAAAACAGCCATTATGAAACCCAAGATTTTATTTAGATATATTTACAACACATGAAATTTGACTATACACACACACAAACACACACACTAGAATAAGCCACCTGAACAGACAACATCCAATGATACAATTTACAATAGATTTAAACTATGTAGTAAACTCTTAATTCTTAGACATGATAGTTAACAGAACTGTAACTCATGTATCAACAGAGTTTACAAGAAACCCACAGATGTTAATTAGTACTCAACTATAAATGAAACTGTTTCAACAGTGAATAGACTTGTAATACAGAAGATGTTAAGAAGAATGAAGAGCAACATCACTACAATGCACATTGTTAATGGGTACCGGAACACTGCATAAGAGGAGAATTAAGATTAATGCCAAGACTAACCAGGAAGAAAATTACAGACACATATTTCCCAATGTAAAAGTCTCTGGAAACATACAGAGGATTTGTATAAAGTCAGAATGGTATTCAGAAACAACAAAATGATATGGTCACAGATAGTACATACCAAACCACCTTGACCCAATGGAGAGCAAAAAATACCACACCACCTATATGTTTTGGATGTGGACTACAATTTAAGTAGTTGATCCAAGTTCCCACTGGGAATGATAATCTGGATGAGTGGATAACACACATACTTTTCTAACGGGAAGACCAAGGATTGAATTCCAGTTCCTACCAACACATAAACTCTTTCTCTGGACTGACCTGAATACTGCATATTGTAGTTGAAATATAGGATATTAACTACATAGTATTTAGACTTAAGTGATTGTATAAGGTACTAACCATGACAACATAACTCAAATGTCACTGAAGTATTCAGACTAGTATATTTATAGCATCACTTAAAGCCAAATTTATAGCTGAAACATTCTTTGAATAATGCTTCTCACACTAATATGAGTCAAACAATATTTTAAAGATTGTTTCTCAGATTAATAAATCTCAGGATACCTTCAACTCGATATGACATCACTGAAGAATTCTATTAAGGTGAACATAACTCGGACATCACCTGAATAATAATGATGTTTGATGTTTATGTTACATAATTCAGGTGATGTCCGGGTTGTATTCACCTGAATAATATAACATAAACATCAAAATACTTTTTGAATAACATAACCAAACTTATAACTAACATTACCAAAAAATTACCTTCAGACTATTATAGTTCAAATGTCACTTTTGGAACATTATTCAAAGTAATATATCTCAAACATTAATTGAAGAATAGTTTCATGCTAAACCAAGCATTATGTAAAAAATATTCTTCATACTAATATAAATTTACTATCACTGAAACATTTTCTTCAAACTAATATAATTTAAATATATTTTTGAAGAATTCTTATCAGACTAACGTAAGCATTACTTGAAAAATGTTCTTCATACTATAAGAGATAAAACATCAGAATACCCTTCAGACTAATAAAACACAAACTTGTTTTGAAGAATAATCATCAGACTGTTACAATTGGAATACAATTCTAGCATTATCTGAAGAATATTTTTCAGATTAGTAGATCTCAACCATCACTGAAAGTTCCTTTCAGACTATCTACCTCACACATCACTGGATAAATACTCCTCACTCAAACATCACAATAATCTTTATACAAAATTACCCTATCCTCGGAATACTATTCAAATTAATATTTCTCTTACGTTAAAATACTTTTCAGAGTAAAATGTTTAAAATATACATATCCATGGATTGGCCTTGCCTTGGATGAGTTGTAACGCCCTGACCTTTAACCTATTATTTTAAGTGCTACTAAAACGTTTCTCATGAAGTTTCTTCGAAATGGTAAATCTCAAACATCCCTAAGAATTACTTTCATACTAACGTAACTTCAAAAGTCACTTGATGAATATTTTTAATATAACTGAAACGTCACTTCAATGCATTATAATTCAACCATCACTTGATGAATGCTATTCATATTATCATAACTCAAGCATCACTTGATGAATGCTATTCATATTATCATAACTCAACCATCACTTGATGAATGCTATTCATACTATTATAACTCAACCATCACTTGATGAATGTTATTCATATTATAATAACTTAACCATCACTTAGACATATAAATCAAACTTTTATTTAAGAATGCTCCTCAGACTATCTCAAACATCATAGTAATTTATACACTAATGTAATTAAGACACTACTGATGAATGCTCTAAACAGTAGTATAATGCAACCATCTTTTGAAAAATTCATAATACTAACTCAGCTGTAACTTAAAGAATACTTTTTGTAGCATTATAACTAGTGTTCCATCTAGACTGCAAGGCCACACAACAACCAATCATGTGCCAAGCACATACTCAGTAACGGTGAGGAGTCTCAACACATTGACGGCCTTAATGAACCTGGCAGTCGATAGGCCTAAAGCCCAAATAACCAACTGGTAGCATTGCAAAATGGCCTAATGATCCAATAGAGACAATGGTCTAAAAAAAACCGTCCCTTAAAAAACAAATGGTAGCTTACATCCGCACATTGTCTTGATACCAGTGCACATAAAGAATTCCTTCTGCACATGGATTGAAAAAAATTAGAGGGAACATTGATTATAACTTATTCATCATTTAAATAATGCTTTTCAAAATATTATAACTCAACCATGAATGGATGATTGGTCTTCATACTTGAGTAAACTTTGCTCCATATAACAATTGCATTCTGTATCAGTAGATGAAAAAGTGTTATGAATATAAGTTGATATCTTTCTTCAAATTAATATCCAAGAACTTTTATTATGCAGAATTGTAGCCCTGTACGTCATAAGACATGATTTAAAAATGTTCATATGTACATAAAGCTAGAACTTGATGTCCATCATGTTAGACATTGTCTTTGTGATTCAAGATGTGATGTAACAGTATTTGCTGTTCATATAGCTGGAACATGATTTGCAGAACAAAAAAGCCCTCTTTGAGAATGTCAGTGTAGATTGTTTCTTCACTCAAGATGATGTAGATGGCTGGGTAGACTTCAGTGATGATGAGTTAGACGACAAGGTAGGCCATATTTTTGTTCCAGATTTTAAAGAATTCAAATCTTTGGTTGTTGGTATGATTACCTAGTTTTTTTTATAATATTCTTATGGATTTTTTTTTCCTTAGTAGTATTCAACTTATTGTGACTTAAAAAACTACTGTCATTTAACTCTCTCAACTTGGGCTGAGTCGAATTAACTGTCCATGTGACCATCTTGTACTTGTTATAGTTTTGATACTACAAACTTTTAATATAGTATATGTATTTTCACAAAATTTGGCAGATTTTCACTAAACATTACAAGTCTTTTATGTACAAAAAGTCAGATTTTTTAATGAAGTATTTTTTACTAAAGATTTGTCCGCGAATATATATAGTCTTTTTTTGACTACTATGAGTGCAAAGTAATTTTCATGTTAACATTAGAAATACTTTTCTTAATCTCAAAAATCTCAAATTTGGTTTGGGTAATCTCTAAAATCTCCTTAATAATTTGAAACGTTTTTTTTTTCCACTGGAACATTACATTTTGTCTGTTATTTTTTTATCCTAATCTGTACAAGGTTGGTCAAATTGACTGACCTTGTACCACCAAAAGAAAATGAAATAAATCTAAATTACCCTTTTTTTCTTTCTAGAATAATTTCAAATTGTAACTTGAAACTATGTTCGTTTTTCCTAAGTAGTTTTACACACATAACAGTATACATCTATTTATACTTAAACTTTATTGTTTTATTGCCCTTTGAACTGTTTTCTAACTACTATTTGCTCCATTATAAGCTGCAAATTACTTGAGGCATGTTCAGCTCACGTTACGTTATTGAATTACATTACCCATGAGCTACGCTGAGCTGCTTGCGAGTGTGCCTCATGAAAGTTTTTTATTATATTATTAATTCTCCTAATCTAGCTTTAACTAACCTAAAGAGTTTCCTATTTTTACATATAAGTTACTTTTATTATAATAAATAAATAAATATGAAAAAAGGAAATAAATAACTTCTTTTTCTTTTTTTTGCTGTCAACTGTTGATTCAAATTCAACACTTGATATGTTCATGGACAAATAAAAGATTTAGTTTATTTACAATATTTCATAAAAATATGATTTTTTGTATGGGATAGACATGTAATGTTAAATGAAAGTCTTTTGAGAGAGTTAAGGATAGATGGGTGGGGCTTCTGTTGTGGGTTGGGAAAATTTATTGATATCTCAGCAAATAAGAAGCTAGAACATTGAAACTGCATTTGATTTTTTCATTGTTTATAGATTGTGTTTACACTACTTAGACAGTGTAAATGCTATGTTACTGAAGTTGCAAACTAAAAGTGGGAGAATTGAAAGCACTCGCATGTCATGTGACAACAAAAGTGAAGATGGAGAATAGTCAAATATTTTTTTGGAATTAAGAAATTAAAACTTATGTAATATAAAAATTTTAATTATAAATTACATTCTTATGCTTATTTTATTGACATTATTGATTGAATTTTGAATGCAGCTCTGTAAAATGTTGTGGCATGTACAAAGGAGCCAGGTTTGTATGGACTTTGATGCATTGAGTTAAATAGTGCTAATGGAAAAGTAGTAAGAAATTGAGAAAAGTATTTTTTATATGAAGTACTTGTAAATCTTTCTGTAAGTAAAGACATTTCATGCTTGTGTTCTCACAGTCATCTGTCTCAGAATATGGACAGGGTAAACCCCTGTCAAAAGCGGCATCTCGACTATCGACATCTATAAGAAAACTTTCTCTACCTTTACCTGATGGAACCAGCTGTGAGGGGAAACCTTCAACAAGCCCACTGGTAATATGGCTGGTGACTCTTTGCATGCTTGGCTGGTAGACTATTTAGAACATTAACTGTGTGTTGATGATGCACAGTCAAAGTGGAATGAGGTCACAAAAGCTGCATGTGTGATGACTTTGAAGAATTTGATATAATATCATGATAGACACAACTTCTTATGAATGTTTTAGTGTTTGCTTTTCAATAGCATTATTATGATATGGATTTTGTAAAATGTGTGAATGTTTCTTGCGAAAATAAAACCATTGTTTACCAAGACTGTAAATTGAAATTCCAAAAACTTCTAGATAAAAAATTTCAAAAACAACACAAGTAAACCTGATGGTATTTGATAATATTAAGTTAGTATTTTTCATACTAGGTGTCTCAGACATCATCTACTAGATGGGGTTTTGTTGAGTCATCAAATAGGTTAAGCTATGAACCAACAATCAATGGGGAAATTTCTGCTGAAATACCATTTCAAGACATGACCTCCTCTTGCTCTTCTTTGCCACTATCATCTTCAGTGCATCCTCCTTTAACAAATACAAGACCTGGTGAGTTGTTCATGGAATGCTGGAATAATGTTAATAGATGTAATAATATTATAACTATAGTTAGATGGAGACTGAAGTATCTTAACTTTCAAGAAAAGTACACGTTAAAAAATTCAGTTGTTTTGTATAATTCTTTAACTCTTTCAGCACAGGCTTGGTCCCTGGGACAGACCTCATAACCATTTTGTGCTTGTGATAGTTTCCGTGCTATAATTTTTAAATTAGTAAGCGATTGTTAACGAAATTTGGGAGATTATCAGTAAACATTATAATGTTTTCATATACAAAATATTAAATTTTGTTTATTAAGTCTTAAGGTTTATAAAGCAATGTTTTTCTCGCGTCTTTTTTTTCTTTTCGCATGTTGCCTATCTATCATGCAAAGTAATATTCATTTTAAGATTAAAAATACTTTTATG